CACAGTTGAGTGAACCGTCAACAGAACTATCATCTAACCAGATGACCTCACCACAACCGCGACGCTTGTACACACCAATCGCCCCTCTACCCCTTGAGACACCTCGGTCGCATGCAACCAAGAGGTACCGGGAAGACGACGAAGAAGATGAGCCTAAGCGAAGAAAGCGATCAGACTCACAGATGTCAACGCAGTTCGAGCTCAGTGAGGAAGACAGACTACTGCTACGGCTCAAAGAAGATGAGAACATGCCGTGGAAGGACATCGCAGCGCGCTTTCTGACAGATCTCAATAAGAATTATCAAATACCAGCATTGCAGATGCGTATCAAGCGACTGAAAGAGCGCATGCGCATATGGGCCGATGCAGACGTTCAGGCACTGCGCAAGGCACATGATTACTGGGCATCAAGCAAGTTCGATATCATCGCACAAAAGGTATGCATCACCCAAAGACTCTCGAGTATATGAACTGACTTTGTTAGATGCAAGACTTTGGTGCTACAGAGAAATGGACAGCACGACAATGCTCACGCAAATGGCAGGAGGTCGATCCTGCGCCCATTCCATATGCCCAATTTGAGCACCACATCCAGCAGGGCTTTGCTCCCTACGCGATGAGCCCAATCGAGCCGTCGCATGGCAACTACTTCCTGCACACCTAGCCAGCCTCGCGTACGGCTGAGGGATGCAGGTGAATCATCCTGTATCGTCTTCTTCTTGTTCTTTCAACTGGGGATTGTCACATATGGACACTGTTCAAACGCTCTCGCGATGCGGCACAGACACATGGCGTTTAGCAAAATCGGGCGGCTTGCATAGGGATTTGGGGCTCAGCAACATTGAGGCAGCAGCGCGCAACGCCTCACGTTCACATTCTATCTTGTCTTCTTCGTTCGATACCCTTGCTTAACTTCACTGTTTCAAATTCTATAACGATCGTCATCGTCTTTTGCCCCAGGCTAGCTGGACGGCCCCTTCTCTATTGCGCATATCATTACCCCTGCTGCAGGTCTTCTCAGTCGTATTCTTAAAGCACAGTATAGGCGTTTATTACCATGGAATGAACAACCGCATCGCGCATTCTGTCATACTCACCACCCTTTTGCTTTCCATTTCGGTCGCAATCTGCATTTTTCGCACAGCCTTACTAACCTTATGCCGCCCTGTGGGGCCTTTTTTGTCTGGTCCCTCCCTCCTTCTCCAACGGGGCAGGCTTCTCCGTTACCCACTTATGCCGACGTTGACTGCGCCGCAATATGCAGATACAGTCGTGCCGCAATCACGGTTGTATCGATTTCTCGCGACTGTTTCAGAGGTGTCAATATCGATAGCTATGAGAGGCTCGCTTGTAGTTAAGTTAAAGCGATTCAGTTGCCAGCCATGTGGCAATACACACTTTTACGGCAGAATTTGGCTTTCACCCGCGCGGCTCGCGTGTCTTGAGGGCGGCACGGTGGTGGTGCGATACCTTATCCAGAAGGTTCAGAGATGGACAGCGCCGCAATCGGGCCTTTCTTGCCTGGAGCTGCCGCTATGCGGAAAGACAGACACGTAACATTACGTTCCTGCAAAGCCTGTCAAAGGGCACGGGTTGTCTTACAGTACGGTGCAATATGACGTGCTTCGCGACAAATGCCAATGCATGCGTAGGTACCTAGACGCACGTCACATATCTGGAACCGTTACGTACGGCACTGCTCGATCTTCTACCATGATAGGATCTGTCATCTCTGGGCATGCCTATCGCTTAGCCGGTACGTTGTACATATGTCATGTGCCTTCAAACTCTCGCTTCTCCAACCACACTGGTACATGTGTAAGAAATGTCAAGAGTAAGAAAGCATGATCGACGCCAGCATCCCTTGTATTTCCCATGTGCAACTCGTGACTGGTCAGCATAGTCAGCCCTATGTGTGAGCTAAGTCGCACAGTTCCTATTCCACGCGAGGACCGTACTACTTACGTCCACCGTCGTAACGTGCAGGGACCCACAAACAAGTATCCTAGGGGTTCTCAGACACTCACACCGTACCTGACTTTGTGATATATCCCTGTATCCTCCACTGCTTGACTATGGTAGTTTCACATTCTCGGTGGCTCTGGTCGAGACCACTCTTCTGCAGATGCTTCAAGCACTGGCGGACCGCTTGGACCAGAGTGATCGAAAAGCACGGCTACTGCGCAGGTGCCTAGGGATTAGACCAAGCAGATCAGCAAGATGAGCAGTCCTGACATAACGCCCACTATACTGACCAAGCTTGTGTGATGTAGTCGCATGAAGAACCTCACGCGCTGAGATCAGCCCGGAGTTGCGGAGGAATGGAGCTCTTTCGGTGAGGTTGACGTAGGCATAACGAAGATTGTAATGGTATACCTCCACATTGCGTTGAGAGCTACGCACGAATTCGGTGCACATGTGCCGTGAAGACATTCGTCAATCAAAGGCCCCGCAATCCTGAGCTCCCCTTAAGCTCTCAGTCGCTCTCAGTCGCTCTCTGAACGGTACGGGTGGCGCCGGTATGCATGGCGAGAGCAGCTGTCACGCTGTCTTTAGCTTGTAATCATGCAACATCCTTTGCACCGAAAGGCCCTCTGTGCGTCCCAGAGGGGTGACAGGTCATTGGAATCTAGCTGCTAGCCGTAAGCACAGCCATGAGAAGATCAGAGTTTTCGCATGATACTGTCGAGACTGTCGCGGCAGTCTGGATCGACGCGTCGACAGTAGTTTTTGAATACGGTCTGACGTGTATCACCAAATCTGCCAGATTCAGTTTGAACATGGAACGAAGTTGCATAGGCACGGTGCTAGTTGACCGGCGCAGTGTATAATCATGCGTCTGGTGGTTTTGACTGGTCAGCCCGTTTCGAAATCTAGTGGATGGCGATTTGCGATTCGCCTGGTGACTTCCAGTGGCTTGCTCGGAAGGAGGGAACTTTTAGGTCACAAGCCCCAGTAAGCTTACATCCGCTCGTCAATGCTGTCGCGGACCGCGTCGAAGACCGGTTCGTTGCGCGTGTACGCAGCTTACCTCTCGTCGATGTCATCAGCGGCCCGAACGGCCCTACGGTCGAGGTGAACAACGGCTGGTAGCGGCTTTCCGCCTAGAACTCCCAATAGGAGTGCTACTCAGAGTGATGATTTAGCGCACGCGAGCCCTTCTGGAAGTCCCCATGGGCTGCTTATTGTTTGCGACCCAGCCTTCAAGGTTGTGCTGTGACCAGTCATAAGCTTTGTCGACCACGTGTGGTGCAACCCCCCACGTTCCTGCGTCGTTTCGCATCATGTAGCTGCTCGGAATCTGCCGCTGTTCTCATTTGGCTGGTCGTTTGACTGCTGACAATAGCATTCCATGTTCTGTCTCCGAGGATAGGCACCTAATAGCGGCAAGACCCAGACGCGGGACGCAGACTAGTACAGTCGTAGTAGGTAACATTGTTCGATTACTCGGAATCTCCTCCGCATTGCCGAGCACAAGATAAGACAAGAGTCAGTAGGAACGGAACCCTGTAATAAAAGATGACGCATTGAGCGACGGTTGAGGCTTGCTTCGGGGGAACCAAACACATGGGGAAACATTGTGACGGGGTCATGATGTAGACGGAAAGGAAACTTGTGCGATCATGACAGAGAAGGTGCATTTGGACTTGACCGGGTTAGTGTTTCATGATCTACGCCCCACATCAGCATGTTAATGGAAGCGAAGAGTATTCCCTGTCTCTACGACCTTGACGATAGATTTGGTCGATGGAGGAAAATATTGTTGAACTGCACATGTTTTAGCCGCATCGTATGGGTTCTATAAGTGGCACAAAGCGACCAGATCCTAGACCCCATGAGGTCACCATGCACGTGCCTGTCAGCGCACATCCCCTTCGCGGTTGACCGGTGGTACTGCAGACTTGCTGAACCACTCGTTCGCACGCTGATGGTCGGACAAGCCTCAAAGCTACGGTAGAGATCGATCTTCATTCCGATAATGCGATCGGCATTCATCGAGAATGAGTCGTACAAAGAGTCTTCGGCTAATATTGGACAGCTGTCGTGCTACACTCCATAGAGTCCAGAAACGTAAATCGACTCCTGAGCTGCTGCCGGGGTACCGAACCACGGGCCAGTCTATCGGTGAGTCGGAAACACGGTTCAGGCCTGCAAGCTGCTATCCTCTTGCAGAAATCACATTCTCTTTACGCGACCCAGAGGTCCAAAAAGGAGGGGTCGGGACGTTTCAGGATCCGTGGGCTCGCATGCGCAACGTGGTATGTAATTATCCATAGTGATCAGGCGGCTATTCGCGTGCGTTCGCCCCACCAGCTTTCGCCAGTACCTTCTCCAGATCTTCTTCGGCCCTTCTAGCGCTTACAAGGGACCCATCTTCTCGGATACTGTGCAGCTGAGGCCCGCGAAGCCGCCTAGGGTACGCATGAAAGCTAGAGGCGTGATGCCTGTCTTCTTCTGCCTATAAGTGTTGAGCGTAAGAGAGCGTAATAAAGGCAGTGCTCGCTGGGTAAAACATATGCAGAGTGATGATGATGAGTAGAAATTAACCCGGTTATGTTCTTCCGTATTGAGTGTTTTTACCGTAATGTGAATTAGTCTTAATATTGCCAATTTGGGACATACCAAGTAATATGGCTGTTATGCACGCTCAATCCGTTTAGCATTGAGGAGCTTCGTGAGAAGTACGAAAGTCCACCAAAAGCCGATGGAGTGACGATGATAAGGTGGTCGCTCCCTGTTCGGTGGTGAACTCGTTACTACCGCTTCTTTAGTCATCGGCTTCCGCAATTTATCTCCGTTATTTCCAGGTCTCCCCACGACAGCCTCGTACAAACGTACATCTATCCCATGTCATAAGCAACACACGCCCGAGACATTGCCATCTCCATCACTTCTGTTGCGATCGCGCTATGCGTACTGCTCTCACAAGATTGTCACATCTTCGTTCTCAAATTCCCCTCCCAAAGTCACCCCGATCCTTCCATACGTCATCAGCTATCATGGCAGGTCTTACCATCAACTCGCAATATGCCATGCTATCAGGGTATAAAATCCCCGTTCTTGGATATGGCGTATATCAAACACCAGCAGACGTTGCGTCTGAAGTAGTTCAGCATGCAATCAAGGTCGGCTATCGCCACGTGGACTCCGCGGTAGCCTACCGGAATGAGCAACCATCCGCGGAAGGGATGAAGAAGTCAGGAATACCGAGAGAGGAGCTATTTTTTACAACGAAGATACCCCCAAAAGACATGAGCTACGAAAACTCGAAACAACACATCGACAATACACTCAATATCACCGGTTTTGATTACGTGGATCTCTACCTCCTACATAGTCCCTACGGCGGTAAAGAGAACCGACTTGGGGCCTGGAAAGCGCTCGTTGAGGGTGTGCAAGACGGTAAGATTCGATCAATCGGTGTATCGAACTACGGTGTGCACCATCTGGACGAACTGGAAGCGTGGATCAAAGAGACTGAAGCCAGAGAGGGCAAGGGTAAGGGTGGAGTTATCAGCATCAATCAGATCGAGCTTCACCCCTGGCTTGCGCGTCCAGACATTGTCAACTGGTGCAAGCAACGGGGTGTGCTGTGTGAAGCATACTGTCCGCTCGTTCGTGCGACGAGGAATGAAGACCCTCTACTGAAACCGCTTGCGGAGAAATATAAAAAGACGCCGTCACAAGTACTGTTGAGATGGAGTTTACAAATGGTTAGCATATATGCGATCCTTCTCTGATATGGGGTACCATGCTGACATTGTTTAGGGATTCGTACCACTGCCCAAATCGGTTACCAAGTCCCGTATCGAGGAGAATGCTCAAATCTATGACTTCGAACTATCAGCTGAGGACATGAAGAGTTTAGATACTGGGGTTTATGAAGTCTGTGCATGGGACCCCACAGTCAGCCGTGATTAAGGTCATGAAAGCATGAAAGCATATACCGATAGATTCCAACCAACAACTGATACTAAGGAACCAAATTATGGCTAGTTTAAGGGCCATACCCTACTATATCGGTCATATGAGTCTCTGTTTTGGTTACGCAGAAGTAAAGACTGATTCATCCCAAAAGAATGACTCTTGCGAGACATCATCACTCTCCTGTTCTACCATACACCATTCTTCCATATTAAGATCCGTCTTCGCTTCACATACCACCTTAACTCTCGAGGTCTCCCCGTCCCATTCTGTTGACCAATTACCCTCCCAGAACGTAGCTTCTTCTAATTCGTCCCCCTGCTTCTTCTCTTTCATGTGCTTGAACATCTTAGATGCACTTGTACTATCGAGGTGTATTTTATGAAATGCTTCTTTAATTTCACAGCCACTGTCGTTCCCGTCACTGAATCCTAATATCTCCGCTTCAGGTACACCTAATTGATGATCATATGGCCACGAGCATTTGCTAAGCGAGTCCATCCACAAGTCTACTTTTCGTAATGTAGGAATGGTGGCAATCTTCTCGATCGTCTCGAAAGGCCATGTAGTATCATTGTATAGTAAATTGACACTGAGATGTGAAAGGTTGCTTGTGTGGCTTGCCAGCACATCCAAGTCTCCATCCAAGCCGCCAAGATGCTGCGTCGGAATAAAGTCATCATGCCATCGAAGCTCGAGGCTTTGTGATGACTCTCCTTGATGATTAAGAATATCGGGTAAGTAATCTCGCATATGGAAGCTATTACAGAACGACAGATGCGTAAGCGTGTTTTTTGGCAGATTCGTGATCAATTCGATGTCCGTCGTTTTTAGCATCCGTAGTGCTCGCGATTGCGAGAGAACTTTGCGCACGCTGTCTGGAACACTCTCCACTGATAGTTCCTCGATAGCCGTCCAGTCCATGGCGTCAAGCCACAATTCGACGTTGGTCTTCTCGCGCTGCGCTTTTGGTTGCTTGCGCCACTTGAGCCAGCTCTTCCAATGACCCTTGTAGAACCAGTACAGTGTATCCATGAAGCAATCCAACTTGCCTCTCAAACAGCACTCCGGGCCTGTCCCAACGTCTTTGTCACTCCGCCAGTCCCAGCTATAGCGATCCAGCTTTAGAACTTTGAGGTCAACGTATCTTTCTCCGCCCAGGTGATTGAATGGGAGGTCCCGCCGGTCTGGCCATGTACTACAGAATCCATCAATACTGAGATCAAGGGAAGATAAATCAAGGCATGTAAGGAGTGCCGAATGGACGGATTCCAGCGTTGTGAAATCGAAGTAGTCGGGAACGCAGATGTCGTCCGCACAGGAATTGGCAATAATCTTAGCAGTGATTGAAGTGGGACACGGATCACTTGGTATCCACGGCCTAGAGCGGATTGGGGCAAGTTGTAGGGCTAGGCCGATGGGCAAGATGGAGAAGAAAAGAAGTATGAAGGTATGTAGGCGCATAGTAGCTGATAGCTGAACTTGAGAAAGTATTGAGATATTTGGAGTCTTGTCTGTCCATGCATCGCTCAGCTTTTACGCACAATATATAAGAATTATCTTTAAAGCATGAGTCAAACAGAACTAGATGTTGTTGTGTTGTCTTCTCTGTGTTCTCAGTGTTGCCTGAAAATGCATATGCACAACTCTTAGGCACCCAAGCTGCAATCTCGCAATGCTGGCCCACGGTCACACATGCGATAACAACAAATGCTTCATAGAAGAAATGTCAGTTGTTGTATCGCAAATTTACTAGATTCGTTCAGCGAAGGTTGTTGATATTCGCATGGAGTCCTGGTGTAGGCGCGTGGAGAGGCCGAGCTGAGCGAGTCGTTGCGAGTCATGGACAAGTCGCGTTGACATGCACTGCGACGCGACGTGTCTTTCTCGCGCATCGTTGGCGCCCGAGCTTGTAATGACGACAACGCGAAGCTTGCGCCGAGGTTAACCGATACTCGGCGTCGAACTTCTGTGCAACGTGTCGAACACTGAAGTGGAGAGGATGGTGGGTGTGACGTTTGCAGAGCGCAGGCGGCTGGCTACGTCATACTGACCTGTAGTGAAAACCATCCTTATACAACATGCTCAGGCATTCTTAGATACATGTACTAAACCACACCTTTTGATATCCATCAACATTTCTTTATTGAAGACACGCTATACGTTCTCCTAAATAACATACAAGTGCGACTCGGCTTTCATCATCATGGCCGCAAACAAGAAAGTTCTCATCGTCCTTTCCGACGCATCTTCGTTCCCTCTCTACAACACGGGTAGTGATGGGAAGACCGTCTCTCAAGACTCAGGCTACTTTCTCATGGAGTTAGCAAAGCCTCTACAGAAGATTCTCGACGCCGGCTACGAAGTCACATTTGCCTCGCCAGAGGGCAAGGAACCCACTCCTGACCCACTCAGCGTATCTCTGGCTGCCTTTGCTGGAAACTACTACGAGAAGCAAAGAGAGTTGGATCTAATCGAACGCATGAAGAAGGAGAATGGCTTCTCGCGGCCGAGAAAGTTCTCTGAGATCAGCGATGATGAGTTGAAGAACTACGGGGGTGTCTTCATTCCTGGTGGACATGCTCCCTTATCCGACCTGGGTGACAACGCCGACCTAGGCCGTATACTCACACACTTCCACACTTCATCAAAACCGACGGCAGCAATCTGCCACGGACCTTGGGCTTTCCTGAGTACCAAGTATGGACCTAGCAAGAAGTTCGAGTACTCGGGCTACAAAATGACAAGCTGGTCAGATGCTGAGGAGAAGTTGATGGAGACGATTTTCAGGGGTGAGATTGACAAGGTGGAGGGCACGCTCAGGCAGGAAGGCGCAGACATGCAAGAGGGTGTTGCCAAGTCCATGGGAAGTATTACCGTGGACAGGGAGCTTGTCACTGGTGACAACCCGATGGCGGCGAACGCGCTTGGAGACAAGTTTTTGGAGATGATGGCGGCCAAATAGTCGACGGGTGGTGGATTGTGAGAGATAATGGGACATTATGTAATACTATATGAGCTACGAATGTGTAATGGAAGAGTCGGAGCACCTTGTCGCGCTGTTGGATGTGTGAGTGCTTCGCGGGCTTATCGGAAGTAAGCGAAGGCTGCCTGCCCCCCGGCCCACGTGCCGAGCAAGCATATCCACTTTCGCGTCAAGCTTCATAAGTGATAACGGCGTATCTTGCAGCACCGAGGCAAAGGCGAAGGCTGCTAAGTAGTCCGATAGCAGATAGTAGGACTGTGACTAGGGCATGCGACCCCGCACCCAAACGATAACTGCCACAGATCATCCTCAACAAGCCAGTTACGCCTTGGGAGCTGTGAGACGCCTTCCTCAAGAGCGTTGGCGACTGCCACTACGGGCCAGGCGCAGGACGTGACAGCAGCGATGGAAGCTTCTGATAGCAGCAAGCGCGGTTCTGCCTATATCGCCGGTACCAGCTCGGCACATTAGCATCAGCCCCAGAAAAGCATGGTTATAGAATGACGCAGGTCCATCCGACAGCCCGTCGCCCATTCCTCGTTACAAAGTTGGGATAGCTTCACATCCACCGCTGAGCCCCATACTCCTCGGCGACGACACCATGGCTGCACCGGGTTACCGACTGGGTGTTGATGTTGGAGGGTGAGTAGTGCCTGCCTCGATTGAATTTTGCCTCGTGTACCCGTGGGAAGACGCCCACCCGCTAGCTTCTTCTTAGCCACGGCGGCGAACATGCAGGCCTTCCCCGAGTCCACAACTGTCACCACCTCACTGCTTGCCTGGACCCGGCCCAGGTCATGGGATGCGGCTAACACGATCCCAGAACCTTCACCGACGGTACGGCCCTTTTGCGCAAAGTATACTTCACCGATTAACCGAGCTTAGTGTGCGTCATCACGCCCAACGGCGAGGCAGTACGCACAAAGGTACCGACCAACACGACAGACCAGTCAATTGGCGTACACGAAGGCGTGCAGCAGGCACGAAAAACACTCAAAGACAAGTACAACTGGGACGGCAAGTTCGAGTATATACATCATGGCACCACCACGGGCACCAATGCCGTGCTCGAAGGCAAGGGCGCCAAGTGTGGCCTCATCGTTACCAAGGGCCACAAGGACATACTGGCCACAAGACGCAGCCAGATACCGGGCGGCCTAGGTTCGTGGATGCATTATGAACAGCCCGAGCCTCTCGTGCCGCTCGAGAGAACCGTCGAAGTCAAAGAGCGTATCAAGATTGATGGTGACATATTCTACGACTTGGATGAAGATGAATTACGGAACGACTTGCAGGATCTCAAGCGACAACAACCTCAAGCCATTGCCGTGTCGCTCATCAACTCCTTCGCTAATAGCACGCATGAAGAACGCATCAAAGCCATACTGATCAGCGAATTTGGCCCAGATGTTGAGATTGTCACCTCAACGGACGTGCTGCCAGAGATACAGGAATACGAGCGCACCGTTACGACGGCTGCGAATGCCATCGTCAAACCAGTAGTCAAGAGCTACATGCAGAACCTGCAGAAAATGCTTGCGGATGACACCGATACAATCCGCATCTTGAAATCCGATGGCGATCTGACGTCAGTTCACCTCGCCGGTGAAACACCAGTGCGTATCCTCATGAGCGGTCCAGCCGGCGGCGTCAAGGCAGTCTCGCATCTGGTCGCCAAGAACACGCCTTACAAGAATCTCATCACCTTTGACATGGGAGGAACTTCTACCGACTGCGCTTTACTCTCAGGTAGCGATGCTATCATTCGACGAGAAACCGCCATCGGTCACTTATCCGTACGAGCCCCAAGTGTTGATGTTAACACTGTAGGCGCCGGTGGCGGTTCCATTGCGATATTCAACGACTTTACAAAAACGTTGCGTGTTGGGCCAGAGTCCAGTGGTGCTACACCTGGTCCTGCGGCGTATGGCAAAGGTGGGACCCAAGCGACTGTGACTGATGCAAACTTGGCGCTGGGTCGCCTTCCCTCGAAGCTACTAGGCGGTAAATTCCAATTGGATGTTGCCGCATCTACTGCTGCAGTTGAGTCAATTGCCAAGCAGATGGGCCTTGATACTGCTTCCGCAGCTGAAGGAATCATCGACTTAGTAAACGAGTCCATGCATGGGGCTCTTCGTCTGGTATCCGTTGAGCAAGGCTACGACCCACGCGACTTCGCCTTGGTCGCTCTCGGTGGCGCTGGTCCGCTCCATGGTAACGCTCTAGGTCAGCTTCTTGGTTCCTGGCCCGTCATCGTTCCTCCCTCTCCTGGTGTTCTTTGTGCACAGGGTGATGCCATCACCAAGATGTCTCATGAGCAAAGCTGCACATACATTCGCGCCTTCTCAGATATCACAGAGCAAGAGCTCAAGGAGACATTACTCAGTCTCAGGGCTAGTGGTGTAGACACCATGAAAACCTCGCTTGCCGATGAGAATGCTGCGTTGCATGTCATATACCAAGCGGACATGCGTTACAAGGGTCAAGCCATGACACTTACTGTTGATCTGAATTCCAGTGAGCTCGAAAGCTCAGACAAGCTTGTGGACATCTTGCGTAACAAGTTCAATGAAGCCCATCAACATCAGTTCGGATTTTCACATGCGCATGCCGAGATGGAGACGATGCGCTTACGTGCCAAGGTTGTTGATGCTTCCGAGGAGGTAGCCTTCAAGCCGCTGGAGGATGCTCGTACATCCGAACCTTGGGAAGGCGCGATCACAGCCAAGCAGTCAATCGTCTGGGATGGCAAAAAGGTTGAAGCCACATTCTGGGACCGTTCCATGATTGGAGGGGCTGGGAAAGTCATACATGGCCCAGCGGTTGTCACGGAGATGGACTCGAACACGCTCATATTGCCCGGATTCTATGGAAAGATCGACTCCATGGGTAACATACTCATTTGGCCTACCGAGAAGAAGGAAGAACGAAAGACCGTTCATACGAAAGAGTCAGCTCAGGATATGATCAAAGAGCAGCCCATTATTGCCACTCTCATCGCCTCTGCGCTTGGGTCTATCAGAAGAGAGATGGATGCACTTCTGCTTCGTTGCGCCATGAGCCCGGCGATTCGAGAGCAACAAGACGAGTTCAACGTGATCACTAATACAAGGGGACAGATGCTTGTTGGTCAATTTGGGTCTTTCATACAGCAATTCCTGAACGGTTGGAACGGCACGGTCGAAGAAGGCGACGTCTTCGTGACCAATGACGTATACCAAATCGATGGTGCCGTATCACACCTCAACGACGTTATCGTGCTACTTCCCATATACTATGAGCACAAGCTTATAGGCTGGGCGGCGAACTTCGGTCACATAACTGATGTGCAAGGAAAAGTCCCGGGCTCTATGAGCATCAACGCCAGTACCATTTATGAAGACGGACTTCAAATTCCCATTGTCAAGCTATACACAAACGGTGTTTACAACGACACTCTTGCAACTGTACTGTTCCGTAACTCTCGCGCCCCGGATTGGTTCCAGAGTGACCTAATGGCGCTCGTTACCGCCTGTCGAACAGCTGCTACACGTGTCACCGAGCTCTGTGAACGCTACAGCCTGGAGGTTTACGAGGCAGCCACAGATTATCTGCTGGAGCAGAACAAGCTTGCCATTAGTAGGATCATCAACGAGAAGATCAGCGATGAAGTATCGAGCTTCACTGACTTCATCGACGACGATGGACAGGGCATCGGTCCATACGCTATTACTTGCTCAATGAAGAAGCAAGATGGCAAGCTCATCTTTGATTGGGACGGCACATCGCCTCAGTCAAATACGTCGATGAACTTTTATCTCTCGATCACTTTGTTCAAGATGTTCATCGGGTATCATCTGCTCGCCATTTATGATCCTTTTGCAGTAAGAGTCTTATACGTAAAAGCTATAAAAACTATAAGCTAATTTCGACAGGTTGTCAATGACGGCTTCCACGATTTACTCGACATCAAAATCCCGACCGGCACCATTCTTCGTCCTGTCCGCCCAGCAGCCGTCAGTTGCCGTACTCATCTTCTCGGTCGTATCATGGATGTGTTACAGGCGCTCTTTGGTCAACAAAACCCCGCCTATCGTTGTGCAGCAGGGTTCTCCGATTCACCACATCTATTCTACTCCGGTTTTAAGCCCGATGGCGAATTCTACTTGCTCTACCAGATCGGCTTTGGTGGTGTGCCTGCGCGACCGATCGGTGACGGTCCAGACTGTCACTGTCTTTTCCCGGCCATCAAGTCTATCCCGGCTGAGAATATCGAGCTCTACTTTCCTGTCATTATCGAGGCCAATGAAGCTTTACCGGACTCCGGAGGCGCTGGATTCTACAGAGGAGGCAACGCACAGAGGACCCTGTATAGATGGCTCTGTGAAGGTGATGTCAGCACGCACGACGACCGTTGGCTGACTAAGGCATGGGGTGTTAACGGTGGTAAGCCGGGAAGCAGATCGAGGAAGATCTTGTACCGCAACAACAGCTATGGCACAGCAGCAGAAAAGGACAATATGGAATTATGTCAGTCGAAGCAGGATCACATCCACGTTTATCCAGGTAAGTCTAAGAATTCTACATGCTCGAGATTGATATTGACCCACTCAGGCGACGTTTTGGAATGGATCACTTGGGGTGGTGGAGGTCTTGGCGATCCTCTTACGCGCCCTCCCGAACGTGTAGCCCAAGAAGTCCACCGCCGTCTCGTCACTGTTGAAGGCGCTCGGGACAACTATGGTGTCATCGTTGATCCACACACTTTCAACTTCGATAAGTTTGCCACCTCGACACTTCGCAGCAAGAGGCGTGAAGAGCGCTCGATAGAGGGATATAGTACTGACAACGTGATTGACCGTGGCGGCACTCTCAGTGAACTGATGCAGAAGTGCGAAATCGAAACGGGGTTGAAGGCTCCTATCCCGCAGTGGGAAAAGAGGATTTATGGTCCGCACGCAGGACTGGAGTATGTGAGGAACTGGTATGATAAGATGAAGAAAGAAGGTATGGAACGGTGGGATAAGGCATAAGGCAGGTTTTCACACTAAAGGTTAAGTTGGGCGCTGATGTGACGCTGCATGGTACTAATCCATCTGGTCTCAGTCTACCGCTAGGTCACCTCTTCAATTGTACAAATAGTTCTGGATCCCTCGCTTCCAGGAATTTGAGCATCTCATCGTCGAAATACGTCCACTCTTCTAGTGGCAAAAAGCCATTGACAGCAGCTGTGTTCGGATGATCCCTTTGATTAGATGTCTGTGCGGGTTCTGGTGGTCGCTGACCAAGAGGTAGAGCGTAGAGCTGTAAGATTGTACGATCCCGGAAATACGCTTTCTCCACCTTAGCGTCATCAGCGAAGACGTATTAAAAGCGCAAGACGTGGCTCTTGACAACTGTCATCCCGACGGCATAATCGTTGAATGAGGGTAACGACAAGTGCGTCTGGATGCTAGGCGGTATTGGAGACAAAGTCACCCTGAAGCCGGCATGGTCGACCAGATAGTCTGGGTAAGGCGACGGCTCGATATCAAATGTGTTCAAAGTGAATTTCAGTCTTTGATATAACACTGAACTTTATGTCGCAAGGATAGACTCATACTCTACATATTCTCCTTCTCCTTGACCGCCTCACCCATGGCCTGTGCATCCGTTTTGTGAGTTGCAAAGCTTCTTGCTTTTACTTTATTAGCAAACATCTCATCCAACTCCTCGTATGTCCGGCCAGCTGTCTCGGGCTGGTAGAACCAAAGATACACTAGACAGACAATGGACAAAGCACCGAAGATAAAGCCTAGCTTCCCACCAAGATTGAGTTGATCAGGATTGAACAAATAGGGTAGCACGAAACTCCACATAGTGTTGAGAGCATTCTGTAGGGCGAGCCCGATGGCGATGGTTTTGACGCGGAGACGGGAAGTTGATGTCTCGCAGAGAATGGTGTAGGCAGTGGCTCCAATCGTAACGTTATACCAGAAGCAGTAGATAAGGATCATACTGATAGCACCCTTCAATGCAGGGACGGTACCGACAACGGCAAGGCCGGCCATGACGAACAAGATGATTGTGAGAACAAAGAGACCCCAGAAAGTAAGGTTGCGACGACCTATTCGATCAACTAGGTACCAAGACATGACGTTTCCGATAAGTGAGATAACTTGTTGGACGATCTGCAATTTGAATGACATGGCTGTTGTAAATCCGGCGAGTTGCATGTAGTATGTTGAGTACGAAGCAGCGAAAGTGATGCCACTGAGAGACTGTATGGTGAGCGGCATGATCGAAATGATCGTTCGCCGGAGGTTGGATTTGCGGAAACACTCCAGTTATGTGGCGCCTTCAGTCTCGCGCTTAACCTCTTGTAGAGTTGTCATGATCTGAGCGAGCTTTTGTTCCCCTGCGTATCCGCGATGACCAAGACTGTTCAGAGCCTTCAGTGCGTCTGCCTGTCGATCTTTAGATGCGAGCCACCATGGAGACTCAGGCATGAACCAGACAAAAGCAGTAGCTATGGCAGCAAACCCATACTGTGCGCAAAAGACAGCACGGTATGCCCAACGGTTGGTGTACACTCCGGTGGAGTTGACGATGAGCGCAACTGTAAGTGGCCCGAGGGTGTAAGAGAGAGCAGTCAAGCAGGTCAGCATGCCTCTGAGTTTCAAAGGAGCGACTTCGCCGATGTATGTTACAGTAACCGATGCCAGGGCACCGACCACGAAGCCATTCAAAAACTTGCCACCGAAGAAGAGCTCGTTTGTTGTCGCAACAAACTCCATGGTGACAGCGGCGAAAGTGACTGCGAGACAAATCATGACCACTAAGCGGCGGCCAAGCCAGTCAGCAAGTTGCCCACATCCAAGGGCACCCACGATAGCACTGGAATCGTTAGTCTTGTCGTAGAATTTGAAGAACTCAATAACTTACGAAGCTACGGGTGCACCCTGAAAGGCTGACTGCCACTGAGCATCAACGACATAACTTACAGTGCCGTCGTCTGCAGTAAACTGATGTCCGAAATCCTTCCTGAACTCTGGGATACCGATGACATTGCCAGCTGCTTGATTCTCGAAACTGACCAGCAGGACTATCCACACCATGTAGATAGACCAAGCGCATGCCCAAGGATACTTGCGGAAGGACGCAAGTTTACCAACTTCATGGTCTTCTTGATTGGCGAGGTGACCTAACGCGGAAGTGTCTGCGGCGGTCGTTGTCTCCATTACGTGTTCGTTGAGTTCGACCATGTTGGGCTTCTTGTCATGGTCTGGAGCCATGATGCTTAAGGAGACGCAAAGGCTTGATAGCGCTGATACAGCCAGTGGAGGAAGAATAGTGGAAGTGAACGGAAAGGGTCAGCAAGGCTCATCTCCGGTTGAAAGATCAATGTAGATCTGGAGAATGCGGGGGTTAGTCACTTTATAGGTCTGCCAGAATCTCGAGGCCACCTCAGTTGTGGACCAATTCACGCGCATCGGGAGGAGAAACCGCCAAAAGACGCCTCGACGCGAGTGCTCGGATGAACGAAATATGCAGATACTACGTTTCCCGCTGTATCGCTGCTTCCTCCCCGTCCGCACTTACATGGATTGAGAATCGCGTTGACACAACTTCCCCAGATCCGGAATTTCGGTACGTTCAAGGCGACGTTCTACGCGCATGGTCAATGTCTCCGAAAGTTTAGTCTTGTTTGGGCGTCTTGCTGCATCCGAGGTTCTGCCGATTCACTGCTACCCAATGGTCTCCCAATAGCGTACCCGAGGTTTTGCCGGTCGCTCTCCTGCAGTCCTATCTGAGAGAATATCGGCCTTGGGGTAGTTATGCTCACGAGCTTGGTTGGTGAGCTCGGAGTTTCTCGATACAGAGAATAGTGATTATGAAGTTATGGTATGTGCCCTGATAACATCTTTTGTTGAAGAAAAGGATGCCGTTGCAGATTTCATGGATCTGGTATGTTCGGCAAGTGATGTTCCGGCAGGTCGATCATTGTTACTGTGTGGGGTGAAATCACGATATGTTGGGTGGGGAAAGGCTATCGGCTCCGTTTCAAGGCAGTGGCGACCATCAACGCCCCTTCTTGCAGACTCAACATACACGTCATTGACTCAGGAAGCTAGAGCTACCTCGCATTGAATCGATGATACTGAGAACACGGGTTCTGTTAGAAACTACAGTACATCATCCACATCATCAATAATCTGCACCTTGATACTTCCATTGCTCAAGTCTCCGCATGTGTGCAAAGCTTCCAGTGCCTTCTCCAAAGGGAATGTGTGGCTAACAAGTGGCTTCAGATCAAGAATACCACCAGCCAAACACTGCAAGCCCGAGGGCCATGTGTCGCGGTAGCGATTGATGAATTTGAGATCGATCTGTAGCAGCAGTCAACGGAGAATGTCCAAGATATACTTGCAGAAATGAACCTAGCGAAGTAAAGAGCACATACCTCAGCCAGACTCAGATGCATGAAGGGTAGGTTGTTCATGATCTCCTTCCCTACGCCGATTACCATTACCGTGCCACCTCTTCTCGCTGTGTACGCCGCGGTGACAACACTGCTCTCCACACCCGTACACTCCAACACAGTTTCTGGTGCACCATACTCGCCAACATTCTCAAAGTCGAAGAATTCCCTGATCTTTTTGGCATTGCCCTGCGCGTCAAGACTTCGATCAACCTGGTAGGTGGCGACCGTCGGTACGAATTGTTTTGCAAACGCCAGTCGCTTAGGCTCAAGATCCGTAATGACAAGCGGATGCGCTCCACTCGCTCTCGCTGCAGCCAGCGCGATGAGACCAATTGGTCCAGCACCGCAAATCACCGCACCACGGCCGAGGGACAGACCTGCTGACTTGATGCCATGCATAACAACGGAAAGCGGTTCGAGCAGCGCGCCTTCCGCATACGAAACGCTAGACGGAAGCTTGTGACACCATTTCGCGGGGTGCGTCTTGTAGCGCTGGATAGTACCGTGATATGGATAGACACCTGCAAATTGGACGTCTTCACAAAGGTTGTATCGGCCGTCCAAGCAAAGAAAGCATGAGCCACATGGAACACCAGGCTCGACTGCTACGCGATCACCTGGACTAAACATCAGTACTGGAGAATGAATTCAAGGCGTCGAACACACCGGGCTTGAGAGTTGTAACGTCTTCGCCAGTTTGTAGGACAATTCCTGCCGCTTCATGTCCAAGGATACAGTCGCCTTCGACAATGAGTGAGCCTATTCTCCCAGCCTTCCAAAAGTGAATGTCGGATCTGACACCTCATTAGCCTTGACAACCCCTCTGTGTTGGAACTTCGTACCCGCAAACACCTGTAGCTTTGATATGCAACAATACTTCCCCCTTCTTTGGCGCGTACACAGGCGCCTCTTGCAGCTTCAAATTGTGGTCTGCGGTAACTTGTAACGATGGGTTCGGCAATGGTGTTTTGATAGTTACCTGTGTGGTAGCGGTAGGTTTTGCGTTGGACGAAGTAGACTCGGGTGTCAGTGCCGGGGCCATGTCTGGTTGCTGAAGCTCAATCATCGAAAGCAAGGGCAAGCGCTGTCAAAGGATAGACACGCACCAAGTAGCCCCACATGTTCAGCGCGTCATGTTGCCATTCTGGCGAGAAAGGAAGTCCCGTCCTCGCAACGGGGATCAGCATGCGCAGTAGTCCGTGGCGAAATGCGGGGAAGCCTTCAGTGGGATTGACAAAGTAGTGTGTTGGTGGCACTGGTTACCGTAATTGATCTAGTCGTAGTTGTCCCGTCCAATGGGAATCGAGAAGACGACGTGTATTCCCGCAAGAGCGACGCGTCGGATTACTAAATGTGGAAAGCCCGGCCAACTGTTCTGGATATACGTCGAAGATTAGTTTTCATAGCAGCACAAGAGATACCTAGAAACAATACTCCTGTTAGTCCTTTCAGACTTATAAGTCTACTAATATTCTTGTGGTGAAGTTCATACCTCGCATTTCCCTTTCACAAAGACACAAAATGCATACATCGCAAGATTCACCGCAAGTGAACGGGTCGACCGGTTACGGTCAGAACGTCGTAGATGGGCTGAAAAAAGAGGCGAAGTTGGAACAGTCATCGGTCCAAAAATTATCGAAAGAGCAAGATCATGTTTTGAAAACCTTCAGACTGCTCATTGCGGATCTGTGTCAACAGTTCAATGGAGGGCATCCCGGGTAAGCAGTCCAACAACCTTCGAAAGCATAGGACTAAAGATATGATAGAGGCGCCATTGGTATGGCTGCGATTGGTGTCGCACTGTGGAAGTATGCCATGCGATATGCACCGCACACACCTACGTACTTCAACCGGGATCGATTCGTCCTGTCAAACGGCCACACATGTCTTTTCCAATACACCTTCCTCCATCTCACAGGGTATAAAGCCATGACTTTCGATCAACTGAAGTCGTATCACTCAGATCGCGTCGACGCTCTCTGTCCAGGACATCCTGAAATCGAACATGAAGGCATTGAGGTGACGACTGGCCCGTTAGGACAGGGTGTAGCTAACGCGGTGGGTCTGGCAATGGCGACAAAGAACCTGCAGGCAATTTACAACAAGCCAGACTTCGACGTGGTGTCGAACCACACATGGTGTATGATCGGAGACGCGTGCCTTCAAGAAGGTGTTGCCTTAGAAGCAATCTCTTTCGCTGGCCATCTGAAGCTGAACAACCTTACCATTATTTACGACAACAACCAGGTCACTTGCGATGGTTCTGTCGACTTGACCAATACTGAGGACGTGAATGCCAAGATGGCGGCATGCGGCTGGGATATCATCGACATTGAGGATGGTTGTTTCGACATTGAGGGCCTTGTTGAGGCTCTGAACAAGGCACGATCATCTACTGAGAAGCCCACATTCATCAATGTCCGAACAGTAATCGGCCTTGGCAGTGCTGTTGCAGGCGACGCAGTTGCGCATGGCGCAGCTTTCGGCGCAGCGGATGTAGCCAATATGAAGAAAGCTTACGGCTTCAACCCCGAGGAGCATTTTGTTGTTAGCGATGAAGTGCGCAGGTTCTTTGAAGATATTCCGGCGAGGGGCGAGGAGCTTGTAAAGTCCTGGGAGAAGAAAGTAGACGAGTATCTAAGCAAATATCCGGAGGAGGGAACCGACTTCAAACGCAGGGTGGAAGGTCGCCTGACAGAGAACTGGAAAGATCTGGTTCCGAGCTCATTTCCCGATGCGCCGACTGCAACGAGGAAAGCGTCGGGCCTGGTCTTCAATTCGATCGCCGAGAAGATAAACAACTTCATGGTCGGCACAGCGGATCTGTCGCCCTCGGTCAATATGATTTGGAAGGGCAAGGTCGATTTCCAGAATGTAAGTGTTGCACTTTTACCTCTGAGAAGCAGGTCGCTGACAAGTCTCAGCCTGATCTGAAGACAACATGCGGGATTGTAGGCAACTACAGCGGACGGTACATCCATTACGGTGTGCGGGAGCATGCCATGTGTGCCATCTCCAACGGTTTGGCAGCTTTTGCGCCTAACACGTTTATCCCTGTCACATCCTCTTTCTTCATGTTTTACCTCTATGCAGCACCGGCTGTTCGAATGGGCGCGCTACAACAGCTCCAGGTCATACATGCGGCGACACATGACAGGTAGCATCCCCAGAGCTCTTCAATGGTTCCTCACTGACATCAACATAGCATTGGAATGGGCGAAGACGGTCCAACTCATCAGCCAATTGAACTCGCAAACCTCTACCGCGCTATGCCCAACCTATTGTACATTCGACCGGCCGATAGCGAGGAGACTGCCGGAGCATGGATCACAGCGATTGAGGCGAAGAACACACCGACCATCATCTCGACATCGCGACACACTCTTCCTCAGCTTGCACAGACGAAGCGGGATTTGGTCGGGAAAGGTGCATACGTAATCGAGGAGGTTGAGGATGCGGATGTGACGCTTATTGGTGTCGGTGCAGAGCTGCATCATGCGGTCGATACAGCGAAGGAGCTGAAGGCGAAGAACATTAAAGCACGCGTCGTGAGCTTCCCGTGCCAGCGGCTATTCGATGCCCAGTCTACACAATACAAGCGAGAGACCCTGAGAAGACATCGCGGCATTCCAGCTGTCGTTATTGAGCCGTATGCGCCAAACGGATGGGAGAGGTATGCCGATGCAGCATGCTGTATAAAGCGCTTCGGTCACAGCCTGCCAGGCAAAGCAGCCTACAAATACTTTGGCTTCGATGTGCCTGCGTTGACGGCGAAGGTAGAGAACTACCTGCAGCAGGTGCGCGACGATCCACTATTGAAGGGCGAGTTTGTCGATTTATGAGTTTCGCGAGCTGTAAAATAGATAGTTAATGAACTGTACATGTACTCCGTTACTTGTCCTCGGTTGATGCATAGTCGTCATCGGGTTTCGCTGTCTCGGTTGATGTGGGGAAGATTGCTAGGACGCAACGCGTTGAGCTGGTGGACGTGTTTCGCGCTTGCTCTGTGTTCGGCTAGCGTCTCCATGTGAGCACCTTGTCGTCAGCTACCCTTCGCAGTCGTAACTTCCATGCTTCCTCCTCTATATTTGAGATACACTTGCGCCCCACGGAAGACGAGAGCAGTTTGGAGAATGTGTCATTAGAACGAGGCAGTCTACAGCTCTAATGACATCATACCAGCCTCCTAATATTCCAAGATCAAGACAGGATATTTCCTTCCATTAGCACAAGAGATCAGCCATTGTATAATCTTAAGTGAACAGGAAGCTTGAATTGTATTATCAACTGGTTCGCTTCACGGGACAACGACCAGAATGAAAAAAAGACTCCAGCGATCATTCTCTAAAGAAAGGTATGTGATACATTCTGAGCGTGCTTTTGGACAATGGGCATGGTATAGCAATGCGCCTAGAACAGCACACTGTGAGACTTTTCAGCAACTAAGAACCTGTAACTCAAGAGCTGGAGAAAAATCGGATGCGTACAGAACGTAGGTGGACGGCGACGCCCCGCTACAAACATATCGGTAAGCCCCGCACGTACGCCACCGGCAGCCCCCGACGTGAGTAACACGATCAACGAACACTTCAAACGATAAGCGAAACAGTATTCGCGGTCAAAAACGACTATGATCCCATCCCAAGACTGACATTGCAGATCTCGCAACATCGAATTCTAGCACGTCTTCTCATTGCCAGTCACGAAATGTCCTCCGACACAACTTCAACATCCCTACCGCCTGAGAAGCTCGTCTCGCAACTCCTATCTACGATAGAGGAAAGGATCATACCTCTGACGCAGAAAGGCGTCTCGAGCGGCTCTAAGCTCTTCGGCGCCGCTATTTTGGCTCGTAAAGACCTTGCACCATACACCCTTGCCACAAACAACGAACGCATATCACCTCTCCTACATGGCGAGATAAACTGCATCCAACAGTTCTGCACTGTCGATTTCCCTGATCCGTCAACACGACCTCATCCGGCCAAAGACTGCATCTTCCTCGCTACCCACGAGCCTTGTTCTCTCTGTTTGAGCGGTATTACTTGGGCAGGTTTCAACGAGTTTTACTATTTGTTCACGTATGAGGATAGTCGGGATCTGTTTGGGATCCCGTATGACATCGACATCCTGCAAGAGGTGTTTAGGGTGCAGGGGGAAGGCGAAAATGAGAAGCAGGTACAGAGCAGACAACTGTACAATCGCAAGAACAAGTTCTTTACCGCGAAGAGCTTTGCTGACGTCGTCGGAGAGATTCATGATCGAAGCGAGAGGGAGAGGCTATTAGGCGAGATTGAGAGGGTCAAAGGTTTGTATAACAGTCTAAGTGAGACATATCAAAAGGGCAAAGAAGCGGGTGCAGAAAGCTCAAGTGTATGGAGGTAGATTACTTGAAGCTCGGGTTACTATATAGTGATAGTGAGGTCTGTGTTGGCAACGATAGACTTTATGAGCGGCTTCGAGTTCCGCTCCCAAAGGTGTCGCTTCCTGCCCCACATTTATCGATAACAAATTTCAGTTAGCTTCGACCCCTCCGGATGCACTTGGTGTCGAACTTCGAGTAGAGAGCATCTGACCCTAGCAGAATTAAATTCTGTCAGCTGAAATCCGCTTCACGCCCTGTGCTCCTGAATTTCCTTTCCTCGCCGAAGCAATTTTTCTGTCATTTCGTTGGCGCATACATCAGGATTGACTGCGAGGCAATCCGGAAACGTTCACAATCGGTACGCAAGAAAGATTTTTAGTAACACCTGCGGAAAGTTGAGAGATTGGCCAGAAAACAACGCGATAGGTTGCAAATATGGCAAACAGCCAGCGTGAAGACAACACAATATACTTAACGGAGAAAGAGGCGGAGCGGATACAGAAGACAGTCAAAGAACGATTAGAAAAGTGCAAGGAGCAGAGCGGAAATGTAAAGGCTCCGAGAGACAAGCTAGCTGCTCACCAGGAGGCCACGGGCGCAGCTCTCATGGCAGACATGGGCGGTGCACCGGATCCGGATATGATGCAAACCCAAGGCAAGACTTCAACTACGATCCCTGTCATTGGCGTAGGCCAGCCATATCCTCCATGCACGACGCCACTGTCAGATTTGAAGCCGATGAAAATGGCAGATCTGAAGATGGAGACGCATCACCGAGGCTACAAACTGGTTGTAAAGCGAGAGAGCCCAGTAGTTACACTCGTCGCGAGGTCGTGGACTATGGTTCAGGATGAGGACGGAAGCGATGCAGAACGTCTGGAGATATTGCTGCACAAAACACGGTACAGCGAAGATGTGTTGGAGTCCACAAAGCAGTTCATTATCAAAGAGCCTTACTTTACCCTCACTGAACAGGGAGAGCCTACTCTTCGAATTGACCATCCCTCTGACCTAGTCATCTGCCACGAAGAGGGCGCCAAAGATTGGGCTGATGCAGCGGCAGCGGAGAAGGCAGCTACACGCTTCAAGACTCAGGGCAACAACGCACTTAAGAAGCAGGATCTCCCACTAGCCCACGAGAAGTACACCACAGGCCTGGCGATCGCAAAGCAGGATATCGTCGCAGGAGAGAATCCCGATCTAGCGCGCGACATTTTTCGGAATCGTGCTTATGTCAATCTGCTACTAGGTCGGCTAGACGAAGTGAAGACTGACGCACGAGCTTCACTAACCGGAAGAGACGATCAGAAATCAAAGGAACTAGATAGCAAAGCTTACTACCGTGCTGGGTCAGCCTCGTACAATCAGAGCCGCTGGCAGGAAGCCAAACGTTTTTTCCAAGAAGCACAGAAGCTCACCCCGGACGATAAGGACGCCAAAGTACAACTAAAGAAGATTGAAGCACGCCTACGCGAGGAAGAAGCAGGAGGCTACGATCTGATGAAGATCAGGACCGGTCTCTCAAAAGCCCGATCAAGAGTTGACGCTGGAAACTTTATCAAAAACACTGTAGTCAAAGACAGCCCAGGAAAAGGCCGCGGACTATACGCTACCCGTGACTTCGCTCCTGGGGAAATTGTCATGTGCGAAAAGGCCTTTTGCGTAGTATGGGGTCACGAAGAAGACACTCTTACAGCTATGACATACGACATCCGCGACGACCGTATCCGAGTCGCACCCGTCGGTCTCGCAAAAGCGCTCGTTCAGAAATGTCTCAACCAGCCATCTCAAACTGAAGACCTAATGGATCTCTTCGGTGACTATCAAGGCGAAGGCAGCAATGTCTACTCAAACGAGGATGGCCCCGTCGTAGACATATTCCGGGTCCACGACATCATGTCGCGCAACGCTTTCGGGCCTGGAAGTCAGTTTGGAGAAGAGAGCGCGAGAAATGCCAGTACAGGTCTTTGGCGTCACGCTGCATATATCAACCACTCCTGCCTCGCCAACACAACAAAGGAGTTCGCGGGCGACATGATCATCATCCGCGCTACAGAGCCTATTAAAGCTGGCGAGGAAATCTTCCACCCCTATGATGCTTCGCTTGACTATGAAACGAGACAAGGGTTCCTGGAAAGGACATGGGGTTTCAGATGTGTATGTAAGCTTTGTGATGCGGAGAAAGAGGATGGACAGGAGATCAGGGATAAGAGGATGGAGCTGATGGGCGAAGCGGATGCTTTTATCGACAAGACGCCTTGGGCTGGCGCGAAGAGAGTGGTACTTAGGAAGGCGGCTAATATTTTGAAGAGTCTTGATGCGACGTATGATGAGGGAAGGTGGGAGGGGCTGCCTAGGAGACATACGGAGGGAATCAAAGCGTGGCTGGTGAAGGCTAGTCCGCGGTAAGGTTGGCATGGAAAGTTCGCAAAGTGCGTATTTGGGTCAGGGAAAAAGTAGAATCCATCGATTGCTGTGATGCTAGAAGATGAACGATCGTCTGTTTACTAGCTACGGGCTTTCCTTCTATTCAACAGAAGATCGGTACAGGAAACTGTCACAATGATTGCTTAATGCTTCATCGATACCTTGGGCTCCATCATAGGGTCGGCAGTGTACGATGGCACTCCACTCTCTTCACTACTGATTGTTATGATCTCATTTGAGTTGTCAATCGTCTCCATTGGCGCAACTGGCTTTTCGCCCAGGGGAATCTTCGCGGAAGGGATGATCCAGTTAAACCAGGACGGCATTAGAAGACCCAGTACAATCGTTGGTAGAACGAGATGGACGATGCTGAAGCCATAGATCATGATGGGGTCGTACATATGCTTTGTCGTGAACTTCGGATAGGCGAACGAGAGGACAATGGCAAGGATAGGACCGGAGATGTACTATGAAACAATCTTATTAGCGCGGTGCAATCATGAGCAATCAACTTTTTGTGAACATACCTTCATGATAGCAGCCCAAAAATAAGGGATATTCCAGTTCTTTCCGACGCCAATGAGAACATTGAGATCCCTAGTAAGCTGATTTCCAGGATAGAAAGCTACCCACCAGAAACGGCTCATGAACTTGCTGTTACCCCAGAAACGTGGGGCGGGGATACCAGGTGTTCTAGCAGCGAAGAGTGCGACGAAAGTGCTGGCAAAGAAGAAGGCAAAACCGACGCCAGCACCAATTCCAGGAGTGGAGCCGTAAGCAACGCGAATGCCAAGTCCTTGTGCGACAGCGAATCCGATGGTGTAGATGAGGTAGCTGGGCCAGCCGACCTGGTTCGCGACATCGCGGCAGCGGTAGAGCGATGTTGCGGCGAAGGTCTCGCACCATACTACAGACATGTTAGCGGACCATCCAATGCCGTCAGAAAGAGCATACGAACCTGTGAAGAAGAGGGCAATATCGTTAACGTATGTATCCACTGCATCAAGGGCTTGTAGACCAAACTCGGTGCAATAAATCAAAGAAATGAGCGCAGAGACAATAGTCACAATAGTGCAAACAGCCCAGCGGGGAATCTTGCAGCCCCAGTTTGTGTCGAGGATCAACGTAGTCATGACTTCGAGGAGAGAGAACGCGGAAGTGAGGCCGAGAAGGAAGAGCGTGAAAACTACTGAGTTAGCTCATGTCTCGAGTGCTGATCGTTCGCGGAAGCTTACAGAAGACTACGGAGAAAAACGGAGCGCCTGGCATCTGTGCTAGAGCTTCGGGGTATGTGATGAATCCTGTGACGAAAGTACCCAAGGCCTCGCCGCTGGAGGGGTCAATGCCTAGGTAGCCAATGACACCGAAGACTGAGAAAGCGGCAATGATCTCGACAGCCGAGTTGCTAAAGGCGATGATGAGAGCATCTTGCACAGCGTTTGAGTGTTGCGAGCAGTAAGATGCCCATGAAGTGAAGTACCTGAATGCGTGTCAGCGTACTTGCTTGTCGTGCCGCGTTTGAAGCTTACCCAAAGCCGACACCGATAGAAAAGAATATCTGACCGAAAGCCGCTTGCCAGATCTGCGGACTCTGGAGTGCGCTTGTCCTCCATGTAGCAAAGTACAATTTGATACCTTCTCCAGCATTAGGTAGAGAGACTCCACGACCAATCAGAATAATGATCAGAACCAGAGGAAGACCCATCGTAACGTAGATGACACGTCCAGTCATGCCTACACCCCTAAAGACGCACAACCAGGTGACAAACCAGGTGAAGATTGCCCATCCTGCAGTCTCTCCCAGCATCCCGGTTCCCGTGTAACTAGTGTACGAGGCGACACTGCCATCGGGGTTGAAGCTACCGGTCGATGCTGGGGCCGCGTTGGCAACTATGACTTCGGCAAAGTACTCGCTGAGGTCCGCCCCTTTCCATGGAAGGGGACTCTGGAAAGATCGAGCAAAGTACTTCATGATCCAGGATAGGAGCGGTACATAGTAGGTGACAACGACATACTGAGAGTGGAAGATTAGCGTTTGTTCTGCAACCCTGTCAAGCCCGAATCTGCTTACACCGTTGAATACGACGGCAAGACCAATGCCTTTGGCGCGCTTGTTGTTGCTGTGCCATGCCAACACAGGACCACCACGGTAGACGGTACCAAGCGCGATCTCCAAGACCAAGACGGGAAGGGCAACGAAAAAAAGAGCGATGAAGTACGGAATGAAGAACTGAAGACCGTAGTTGTTGTACACGACCGACGGGAATCGTAGCAGGTTACCAAGACCAACGGCACCGCCCATGGCGCAAAGAACGAATTGAACACGGTTGCCGAACACATCGCGGCCATCTTCCCCTTTTTTCGAGTCTGGCGAGAGCTTCAGAAGGATTTTCTTGATTGCTCCCATCTTGACGTCCAAGGCGAGAAGATATGAATTGTGAGAACAACAGGAGTTGTGTGGTGAATCTCAGAGTCGACTGTAAGACTGGCGCAGTTGATCCCGGTATATAGAGACATACCATCTGACCATCCTCTCTTGGATTCCTGTCTCACCAAGCACTGCCCAGCCTGCGCAATCGCCCACCTTCCTTCTACAAACATCACTACAACTGTGGCGTACATCTCCAAGACTTCCCCAGATTCTTCGCACAGGCTCAGCTAGCTCCAGGCGTGCCCTACAGGCCGGATACAACGGATCCCAAGTGATCAGCAGCTTCATCTTGGTTGGATGGTTCAGATTAGAAAAACGCCAGCTCCGTACCATGTTCTCGGACGTGGCGCTGGTCCTGTGTTAGCGTGCCAGCCACGAGGGGTAGTGATATCGTCAGGACACTACGGTAAGTCTTGGGCCTGGGGGCGGGGTCTTGGCACGCGTTCGAATACACACACGCGACAGGTGAGGCCATCCAGATCCGGGGTAATGCTCGAAAATCGACCATACACTGCGAGTAATATCAGAGTTGGCTGAGAGCTAGACCGTGCATCTGTTATCTGTAAGACGGCACCCGGCTACACGGCACTGACTTGGCACTTGGAAGCCCGATGGCCTGGGTCGGGCGTAAAGTCGCTCCGACTGCTGTGTACTTTGGTAAAAGCCCTTGATGAAACGATGTGTTGGCGTTGGTAATGATGATAACGATGGCGGTCGCTTGACTGTGTCTATGATCCTGCGGTTACCAGCGGGTGACGGTCCTCGCAAAGCATCGGTCCATGTGTACGTCGCGTAGAAGCGAGGGTTTCTGGGGGGCTATCTGGAGGGCCAGTCATGCGTGCCTCTTGTGCCTGCTCTTTTTCTCAGTGCGCTAGTCGTACGCGTACATGAGAAGCATGCTCTGGAATAGTTGAGGAATTGTCCAAGTATCGCATTGATCTGAACGGACGGGAAAAAGGCAAGTTTCGTCGATCGTGGAGAACAGTTCTGGAGGCACGAATTGTAGGGGCATGGCTACCTGCTATATATCAACGAGGTGTAATGAGATCGCTCGTAGGGCGCGTTGCGTGAGAGTGGAGCTAGCGCCGATTCCGGGATCATCGGACCCATCTCAGGACAAAATATGCGGAGAACTTCCAACCTCATCATTGCGGCGCCCACAGGAGTTGGCAATTCAGCAATGTACATACTGGATGGTCTACAAGTTACTACAGCGCTTAAATTCCTTGCCATAGTCCCAAAATGCCCTCTTCACCATCCCCGAGCACAGGGTCCTTCTTTGGCACCTTTACATGCCAAACCTCTCCCTCCTTTCCATTATGCTCACCTCCAACAGCGAAATCCCAAACACCACCGTAAGGATATGCGCCCATCATCATGAAATTCTTCTCGACCTCGACACTCTCAAAGAACTTTCTTCTCTCCCGCTCCTTCTCATCATCAATCTCTGCTGCCCGACCCTCTTCAACATCCTTTGGTTGATAGAACCCGAGCTTTTCATTATGTGGTTTTGGAAGAAACGTCTTGTGGCTTACTCCAGCAGGTATGATAAAAACGTCGCCAATCCTCGCTTCAATGTCTATGCCGCCTTCTTCGCCATCTGCTCTATCTCCTGGTGAGTGCTTTCCCTGGGTCCAGGAGGGTGAGTCGGCAACACCGAAGCGGATGGTGGCACCTTCGCCTGAGATGACAGTCATGGCTTCATGTGTGGTGGAGTGATAGTGGGATTGGATATCCAGACCGTATTTTGCTATCCATTGCGTTTGCCAGCCATTTGAGGCGTAGAGATCTAGTATTTGAGTAGTTTTGAAGGTGGGCGATGATACTAGATCGCGGAGCAGACCTGGGTAGTGGAGTAGCGGATAGGGTGAGTTTGGGATAAGCGGCGTTGGAGGGAGTTTGTAAGAGTTTACTTTTATTCCCATTGCGAAGAGTGATATGTTGAGGTAGTTCGGCTGGTATCACTGAACGGATAGGTGGATGGGATATATCTGAGGAAACACTTGCCCAAACGGGAAGTGACAGCGCGGGGTTTGACGTCAGAACCGTCGTAACGGCAATGAAGCCGAGACGGTTGCGCTCCCGACACATAAGAGAAATATCAATGTATACGTTTGGATAGGCGAATACTTTTAATCTATCGATACCACGTTTCTCTGATCAGAATTCCAAAGCAACCTTCCCAATCGCTTCTCCATCTTCGATGATCTCATAAGCTTTTCTCAAGCCATCTTCATCGACCTTCAGCTTCTGCATGCAATGACACTTCACTTTCCCATCATCTAGCATTTGAGCCAATTCTTTGAGAATTCTTCCGTGAGTCGCAACGTCGACTCCGTAATACGGTTTTGTGCCCAACAATGCCCAAGTGAACGATGGTATGCGTGGCGCCTCCTACGTCTTTTGAAAAATTGACTGTCTCTTCTCTAGACGCTGTAGTGACTACAACAGGGAGGTTGAGAACACGACGCGCGATCTGACTTGCTACGCTGCCAACGCCTCCTGCTCCGTTGATGATCAAGATGCCAGCCTGTTCGTTCTTCTGAATCTCCATGCGTTCCATGAGTGCTTCATACGCTGTGATCCAAGTCAAGGGCATGGCAGCAGCTTGTCCCGAGTCCAGACTCTTTGGTTTCAGTGCCACGGCTCTCGAATCTACCAGCTGGTATTCAGCGTTGCTTCCTTGTCGGATTGGGGAACCAGAGTAGTACACCTCGTCGCCAGACTTGAAGTTCGTGACAGCAGATCCAACACTTTCTATCACGCCAGCGCCGTCAAAGCCAAGGATTTGAGGAAGTTTGGGTGTTCGTTCGTAGTAGTCTGGATAGTCATCGTAGGTCCCAGCGCGCACCTTAGTGTCGACTGGATTAACAGAGCAGGCTTTTACGCGCACGAGAATGTCATGGCCTTGCGGGTCGGAGGGTTTGGAAATGTCGATTGATTTGAGGTTGGTGATGGGACCATACTCGGTTACTGCAACAGCGTGTATGTTGTAGAACAGATTTTACCTTGGATGTGTTGGTGTGAAAATGCATGTCGGCGAACGTGTTTGAACTTTTATAATTCAGTCTTCATGACTGCACTCTTCTGAGCATCCTCCAAGCATCTGCACGTAAAAATGCCATCAGAGGCTCGTGACGTCACCCTCATAGCGTGATCTCTAGCTATGCGCTGGGAGGACCCGAGACCGCCGGCTTCAACCGTTGTCACCAAGACGGGTGGTGTAGTTTGACACGTTTGAGGCCAGTGTGCAATCTTGATCAACGACTGTTGGAACGCATGCGTGGATAGTGCGTCTGAAGATACGACGCAGGCTAGCTATCCGGTGAAAGGTACAAAGTACAAAGGTACAAAGAGACTTGAGCACATGATTGCAAGTCGATGCGGGTCGCGGAGTACCGTCACATACGTGGTGCACGGAAGAGGGGTTGCGTGCCGTAGACGCAGGTTGGGATGAGAGAGGGCTGTGGTGCAGAAAAGCAGCGTGTTGGGCGGGATGACTGGCGCGATTGCTGGCACAAATCCCTGCGATAAGGCGAATGAGATCATGGTGAAGCGTTAGCTGACATGGCCGTCTCCAACCACAGCGGCTTCGCATGGTAATGTCGGTGGTAGTAGTAATAATTGTTGCTTTTCTAAACACACAATCGCCACCACGGCACCTGTTTTTCTGTTCCCCTAACGCAGTCGCCCAAAAACCGACGCGATCACTGAGGCCATCTGGACCCCCGGCCGCTATCACCGCCGAAGCTTGGAAAGCCACCAATTCGGCGCGCGCATCGATTATTGCGCAGTGACCTGCTCCTTCCGCACACCAACGTCCCGTCTCCAAATTCCGCCTCGCTCGCCATACCGTGCCCACCCCCGAGTCTCCTTCGCCGGGTCTGCCGCCGTCGCAAATTGTCCTGTCCATCGTGCGTCCGCTTAATCGCATCGTGAACGGCTGGCTTGGCACGGCCATCCCGAGGCTACCTGCGTCACCACCACCCAGCGCCCTGCACCGACGGCAGCCTGCATACGTCTCGAGTGCTGCGACGTGGGCACAGCGACAGCAGCGTCGCATGTAGAAGAACACGGCCGTCTTGCGCTCGCGGGTCATGGCTTCTTCCTAACAACGACAGAAGAGCCACCTTGCAGCGGTACACGGGCCAGCAGCGACAGGGACGGCAAAGGAGGATTAGGGTTTCGAGTGCGCCCTCGCTATGAGGCGCCTGGCTACCATGTCCCAACCTGAGCCCGACGTCTATGCCATGCTCGAGTCGTCTTTCCAAGCCTCCCCGAACCTACGCCAGACAAAGCGCCTGCCGCTCCGCACCGACGACTACCGCACCTACTCGAGAGCTGCAGCGCCCCTGAAACGAGACTACTCATACACCACACAAGCTACCGATGACACCGAGTCGACCATCGAAAGCGACCACAATACGCCGCTCCCCTCGCCCGGCCTGCTCAAGGGAGCAGACAGCGGCCTCCCGCCCACGCCGCCCACAGCTTCGCAGGACGGATCCTCCACCCAAATGCCCGAGCAACTGCCACTTGCCGACAGCGTACGCAACTCGCTCATTTCGCAAAAGTCGTCCCTCAGCACTCCAGTCAATGCGCGCAGTCCTCCCACGCCCGATCCCAGTCCGCCGCGAACCAACGCCTCGAATGCTTCCAACGCTACCAATGCCACGCTCGAACGACCGCCCATATACACATATCCCTCCTCAAGAGCGGACTCTTTCCAGACTGCTAGAGAGGACCCCTTCTCCTCGGATCGCGACGACAGCAGATCAGTGACACCCGCCAACGACAGGCTGAGCACTGTCGAGGAAGACCGAGGACTGGGCCTGGCATTCGAACACGACCAAAGTGATGTCACGCCGACCAACATCCAAGGCCCCTACTTCCCCGCTACTGAACAGGTGGATTCAACGGTCGGTGCTGAGGAAAACAAGGGTCCCCAGGTGGTCGAGGATATCCCAGATCGGGAGTGGAACACAGACCTCATGCGCAACGTAACGGTTCGCAGAAAACGCAGACCCGACTACAATTCTCCTCGCAAAGTATCCGCCCCAGAACCCGTCGCAAAGCCTGTCGCGCCCGTCGCAGAACCCATTGCCGAATCCGCCCCTGCCGTCACCATCGTCGAAGCCGCCTCCCCAACTCCAAGCAACAGAGCGCGACGCGCTTCCAGTCTGCGCGAACGCGTCGAGGCCAGCCACAACAGTCCCGTTACGCCGTCCATCGAGAACTTTGCGCATTCCATAGGGTGGCCCTCGGAGGGCGAAGGCATGTCGGCTGGCAAGCATCGCGATTCAACCAACAAGCGACTCTCGACAGCGTCAGTGGCTTCGACAGTAGTATCGGCCCATGTTATCATCACTCCGCCGCGAAGAACACAAACACTACGACACTCAGGACGGAACATGGCATACAGAAGAGACATCAGCGCGCCTTCGGAGCTTGGATCCGGAGCCTACTCAAATCGCAATTCGGTCATTTCCCAGTACGACGACGTGCCGCCTCGTCGCCTAGTGCACAAGAGGACCAACATTGCCGATAGGAGCGCGAGGTTTAGCACTGACTCCGATGTCAGTTCTCAGCGCATCATGTCTCCGTCTCTGTCGTTGCGATCGAGGACCATCGATAGCTCGGCGCATACACAGGCTCATCAGGAATCCTTACGGAACGTGCTACAACCTGCCGCGGACATACTAAGTCGACACAGCACAATTGCCCGATCAGGTGGCAGTTACCACAAACGAGTAAACTCAGCACCTGAACCCACAAGACGAACGCTGTCTTCGAAACCAAGGAACTTTACAGAGATCCTGCCGTCCGAAAGCCCAAGGCCGATTGAAACTACACAACCGCCTGTGGAGCGAGCACCATCGCCAACCCTTTCACCGAAGCCACGCCGAGCATCACCGACGTCGCGGAAAGGTCGACGACAAGAACCAGTGGTCACTGATGTGAAACTCCCAGGCGGTCTCGACAAGACCCTGTCCGATCTTCCTGACCAGGGTGTAGATGGACCAGCCGAACGCGATGTCTTCATGGGAGCGAGTCATCCTGTCGAAGACGCTCGTGTGCCGTCTGCGCTGACAGACAGAGTCAGACGCCTACTTGCGGCTCGTGAGACTGCAGAGGAAGCTACCCTCGTCGTTGATGCAAAGCAGAACCCTGCTACATCCGAGAACCTAGAGAAGTTCTCGCCGTTGAAAGATAGTGAGCCTCAGCGTCAACCATCAAGGCCAACTTCATGGGCGAAGCGGGCATCTCTACACCAGGAGAGCGCTTCCTTGTCTCCTGACGCGGCTGTCCGGCCCGTCGTAGACGATCGTGTATACACACCAGAGATGAAACGCCGCAGCCAGGCATCGCGACCTGACTCTGGAGACCACGGCCGCGTTAGTTTCGATCGATCCGCTTCGCGATCTGCTTCTCGGACTGAAGAGCATGCTAATGCCCGCCACCTGTACTCTCAATCGACGCCATTCTCCCAGTTCTCCGATACAGTCGAAGTCACCGAGGCAACTGCTGTGAGCATCTATCCCCACAACAACAACTCTCTGCTCGTTGTGCAGCAATCGCGTGGAAACTCCCTGTTGCCAGAGCAGCGTCAACTACAGGACGTCCGAGAGGTGCGGGCATCACCTACACCACCGTTTGTGGATGCAGACGAAGCACCTCAGGAGGCTCGCGAAGAGACTGATGAACCATACCCCCAGCCAACTTTGACCTTTGATCCCTCAACCCCGCCGATGCAGTCTGCCCCCCCCCAGCCCGACGGCGTGGACTCGCCTCTTAAAACCCCTCGAGACCCGCCAGTGCCACCTAAAATCAACTTCATTCCTCCTACACCCATGGAAGAGCTCGAGAAGGAGCTGGTACCTGGGCCACCAGGACCTCCTGAGCGATCTGATTCCCACCCCCAACGGCGACTATCTGTTTTGCAGCGAGCTCGGCGGTACTCTGACAATCTCATCACACCGCTTTTCGCTCGCGCTTCAAATAACCGAACCCGATACGCTAGTGAGTCTCACGGACACATTCACCGAAATCCCTCAGTCCCCAGTGTCAATGACGAAGATGGCACACTTCATCCTTTCTGGCGTCCGCGCGGTTTCTGGGACGGGTTTGAAGACGGTGACTCAGAGAGCGACGAGGAAGAAGGCCTGCCCCAGGGTGGCGACACCAGTGACATTGAAGATCCAGAGCCGGAGCCGGAGCCACCACGACCACGGCGTGCCAGCACTCTCGGCAACAAGCTGAAGGGCGGTTTCCGTGGCTCAGGCGGCTTCCTCATCGGCAACTCTCTCGGCGTTGAACGTGCGGGCACGAACAAACGTCGTCATCATGTCACTCTTCCACCACACTTCCGAACCCCACGCACAGCTGGCCATTTGGCGGAGCCCAAGGTCATTATCCAAGCACCCACACAGCCCCTGGGCCGTCACCGCGGCGGTGGCGTTACCAAGCGTCGTTCTAGCCACGACCTCCGTCGCAGCGCTTCCGTGCCAGACAACATGTCGACCGTCTCCTACGAGTACGAACAGTCTCGTAGAAGCCGAGGCTCCTGGCGCCAAGGCAAGAGCCTTCCTGGTCTGAAGAAATACCACGTCCAGTACATTGGCATATCTGGCGTTAAAGACAGACTAAGGGAGCGCCGTACAGAAAAAAGGCGAGAGAAGATTAGACGTAGTATCGGAAGTAGATATTACGTCGACCCTGTGGCTCCTGAATCCGCGTTTTCGCAGTAGCTTTTTGATTTCCGATTCTTCGCGTTTTCCCTATTGACAGTAATTGGATTCCCCCTATTCGTTCATCCAGCAAACACATATATATATATATCGCATACCCACCATCTTTTACGACGTCACGACCTGTTTGCATTTTGGCTATATACCTGGATAGGTTTGGGCTGGGAACCGGTTTTCCCTTTTAATCTCTTCTAGCTATTCAGCTAGCCTATCTTGTTTGTTTACATGGGAAGCGGGAGTGAGTTGAATCGCAGGAAAGCATCAAGTAACGACCTGCTTTACTTTAGCTTGTATATACTATGTAATCACCTCATGACAACATTCACCAATTTTACGCATACACACAATTGCCTCAACATCAACATCTATATTCGACGACGACGAAAACGTCTGGTATATGGAAATAATCGCTAATGAACATGCCGATAATGCTAGCAATCAATCTTGATGCCCTTACTCCTTGCAGAATGTTTCCCTACATGCCAATAGTGATATCTCATGCCTTGCCACTTTGAGTTGCACCTAAACGCCCAGAAGTGAGAAAAAAGAAGCGCCTGTCTTCCAGTCCAGAATGTACGGAGTAGGAGAAAGAGAAAGGAGATCTCCAGTGAGCCTCTTGCTCTGTTGTAACAAAGGGAATGTTGTTGTGGGGTATGTAGCCTTCGAGACTAAGAAAAGAGGATTATATCTTCCTTCGAACAGTAAACTTGCGCTCCATGGTCGCAGCAGGGAGTGCTTCGGCGAATGTATCGCGTGCTATTGCAACATTAGTTATAGGTTTCCCTCAGTGACTTTGACAAGACTTACTCTCCGCGGAATCAAACATGATAAGAATATCGTCATGCTCGCCCGGATACTCAATTTCGTCGAGACAAACAAATCGTCTTTTGGTGCCTGTCCAGCCTGTCACCCTACCCTCGGCCTTTTGGATCTTGCCCTCGCCGCGTCGTTCATCTACAGGCAGCGCGAACTTTGCGTCAACCAGCTTCAGTCCAAATTGTCCACCCTTATCCGTCTTCTGGAAAGTGTCGGTGAGGCGGAGTTGGAAGTTCATGGCATCAGCATGAGAGAAGTCTTCGAAGAAGGCGAGAAGCTGGATGATGTTGTCTTGTTCGACGATCTGCAGACGGATGCGGTTGGCGGTCCATTGCTTGTAGATGGGCACTACCATACGACGGCGGGATATGGAGAAGGAGTTTGCGAGACTAGGTAGGGTTAGTACATATCGAATCATGGCACAGAATATAAACGTACCCGTCGAATTTCACATGAAAGCCAGTAACAGCCAGCTGGAAGGTGTGAAGATCGTTGAACGAATTGAAGGTAAGTCGTCGGATCGTGGAGGCACTTGTAAGAGTTTTGAGTAGCTTCGCCAGCTCATCGGGAACATTAGGATCAGTACGGCTGGCGTCGACAGCCACGGCCATATCTTGCTGAGCCTCACGGAGGAGTGTGAGTTCGGCAGCTTCGTCAACTGGAAGGCGAACCAAGAGTTCGCCGGGTCCTGCAAACTGTCAGAATCATGTCGATCAACAAACAAAATCGAAACATACCCAAGTTCATGCGGTCAGAGACGATACCAGCAGTATGCCTACACATGATTCTCAAGCTCTCACTCATGACAGTGGGTGCTGACTCAAGTCCTGCAGCTTCTGGATCCTGGTTCATAACCTTGGCTTCCACCCACTGCAGTTTCTCAAGCACACGACTACCCTGCGTAAAGCCCTCTGCCTGGTCAGCGCTCTCAATGTGAAAAGCCTTGAGAGCCACTTGGGCGAATGTAGTTTCGCCCTCGGCGACGTTCATGGAGGTAAAAGTGCCAAACAGGTTGTTGCGATCCTTGCCATCCTGGAAAACAAGATGGGCTGTGCATGTTCTCAGCCTCTTATCGGCACCCTCTTCACGGAAGCGCAATCTCAGCGCAGGGGCTTGATCCGCTTCGGTCACGTATTCGAAGTTCATGGGCTCCTGTTTCGTGCCGAGCTCGTGGTTGATTGTGCTGACTTGCTTAGTCTGCTGCGGCGTGACGAGAACCATACGGTAGCCTCTGTGCAATTTTCGCTTGCCTGTACCTTCACTACTGCGTTCAATCCTCTGGAAGACCATGAGCTTGCAGCCTGATACGCGCTCAGCTGGGAACGCTGATGGCTTTGCAGGGTCCCTGTAACTCGCCTCTTTCAAATACATCTTACAGGCAAAACGCTCGTCTCTCCGTTCTCGTAAATCAGACTCCGTCCTGTTTGTGTGGTTGACAATAGACCAGAGGCTGCGGAAGTCACTCTCATGTAGCGCCATAGTGAGTACAAATCCATGTCGTAGCTGGACAGTAAGTTGTGATGACTGTTGCTTCCATTGGACGTCTTTCCATGTAAGCACCGATCCTGAGCCGACTAGGAGATTGATCAGACTGTTCTGGCTGCAGATGGCCAATTTGACCTGGTATTCTTCCTTGGATCGCATGACAGAGACAACGGCATCCATAGGAACACGATCTGTCGCAGGGTTGTCGGTCGACACAGAGGCCTTTACAAACATGCGAAAGTAGCAGAAGTCAGTCTTGGTGTCGGAAAGAGGTATGTACTGTGACAGGCTAAACTGCGATTGGCTGCCGTTGGGTGCAGGAAGCCCGGAAGTCAATACACTCGCCGCATCTGCAGGGAACGTGGGATATTCCTCCCATATTTTTTGGTCTTGTCCTTGGATGAGTGCTTGGGTCGGAGGCATGCTCTGGTGCTTCTTCATCGATCCCACGAGCAGCTTCAGGTAGTGGGCAATCGCATTCTGAATGTCGAACACCTCCGCGCTCGCAGCGTCTCCAGCTTTTCTTGCAAGATCAACCTGTGCATCGGGAGAGGCGTTGCCATATCCCTGTAAGCTGGGGTGGTTCGGAAGCACTTCAGAAATGATCCACCACACCTTGGCCAAGTCGACATGCGGTTGAGCGAGTCGCTCTTGGATCGGTTCGGCAGTCTTAGGCTGACTCCTTATCAAGTTCTCCATCCCTGTGCGTCCTTTGAGAAACCACCACGTAGCGACCCGGAGCCATTGCATCGGCGTGTGGTTGTTAACGTTGCCTCCAAGCTGAGCTGTCAGCTGGAAAATACCTCTCATATGTGTGATGCGCTCGGCAAAATCCCGGTATGCAAACTCGTTTGCTGACTTCGTATCCGAGCGAGCTAGAGGGGTCGCCGGTTTGGCGCTGGCACCCGAAGCATTTCGCGACGGTAACTGGCTTGGAGGCGCTGACACTGCGAGAGTCTGGGGTAGTGGAGAGGGTTGTAGAGACTGCGGGAGCGAAGAGGGTGGTTGCTGAGGTTGTGCTGAAAAATAGGATGCACCCTGGGGAAATTGGGGCGGAGTTGGGAGGTTTGGGCTGTCGTCAAGAGCCCCGAAAATAGCATTCTCCTTATTTGAGGGCACTCGTTTTATAGTAGTATCAACGAACGGGTCTGATCGCACAGCAGGGGAAGCACGTGCTTGTGAAGGGGAAAATGCAGTGTATTGAGATGGCGGTGATTGTGCTCCTGGTCGTCCTGGAGAGGGCCCACGTGCTCTAGATCGTTGAGGGTCTTCGGTATTCAAGGTCCCGGGGGGTGATGTCCTGGATTCGGATTGTGGGGTTTCCAGTGGTGTTCTTGCTGCGGCGGGTGTGTGGTATGAGGATGGAGGTGTACCGACGATGGACTGCTGGGAGCTTGTCTCGGAGTCTCGCCTTTGACCCGAGGCTGCTCGTTGTGACGCTTCGTGCAATGTCCTGCCCTCTTCCGATCGCATCTTTCGCCGCACTTTTTCCGCGAACGAGAGTGGCTCGTCATCGTCCTGCTCAGGCAATTGTCGCTCTGGCAGCTTAGGCACTGAAGGTATCGCATGCACAGGCTCGTGTTCAGCATCTCCCTCCATGGTGCTGAAGCCAGTCTGCGTGCGTTTGAGCGGTTTTGGTTGGAAATCGTCTTCTTCTTGGATCGTAGGCTCCCGTACTGACATGGTCCGCGACATGACTGGCGATAGGTTGTCCGAATCCTGGGAGTAGACAGAGTCTTCGCTGGGTCGCCTTGCAGAGAGAGCCGGTGTAGGCTCTGGAATACCGTCAAAGCCAGTCGGTGCCCTGGAGAGCGCCTTTGGGCGCTCCCCAAGCCCCATGGAGCCCATGTAACGCGGCGGTGTTGGTGGCAGTTGGGCGTGCGTGTTGATCTGGCCCATCTGCATCTTCTGGCCGAGCGGTGGGGATAGTTCGCCGGGGTTTGTGCGCGTTCTCGTGAGGTTGGTCCTGTACTCGGTCTGCGAGGGCGTCCTGCCTATGCCATTGCTGCGCGCTCCCAGATTCGCGTCGTCTTGCGGTACCTGGGACGGCAGTTTGTCCGCTTCGGGCACGCTTGCTGCCTTCTTGTTCTTGGCAACTTCCAACACAACATCTTCACACTCGTCTCCGCCATGGCCTATGACTTCGGGGACTGTGCGCACAAAACTCACGGTAAGGCCCTTCTTGCGCGTGCCTGTCTTCAGACCTCCCGGGCCTGGGCTTCTTCCGGCGGCGGCGGCGCTGGCCAATATCGCCTGTGCGCCAGGCCATCGCTGGGCGCTCGCGACATCTATGCGGGGTCGGGTGAAGGCCGAGGCGGCGGCAGCAGCGGCGGCGTCCTTTTGCTGCTGGGCGGCGCGGTCGGTCGAAGGCTTGAGGAAGTCGTTGATGTCGTGGTCGTCCGAGGGCGGCTTGGGCTTGGGCTGTGAGGCGGCGGCAAATTCGTTGGTCTTCTCGAAGATCTTGGTCTTCCAGCGGCTCTTGGAGAATAGTTTACTCCCGGCATCCTGAGCGTCCACCATGGTGCTGCCCGCAGACCAGATTCGGGGAGATTGATCGGGTGGGGAGGCTTCACAGGTGCGTCGGGGACAAGGCAAGAGGGTAGTGGTGCGCCGTCAAAGTTGGGAGGCGCGTCGGGGTGATCGCGTGCCTGGCTTGTTGGTGGGCGTCGTGTTTGCCGTCTTGGGTCAATTGATTCCGGCCGTCGACGTGTTCCGAGGGGTTGTCACTTCTCTAACAGGGTCCGGCCACATGAAACTGCCTGGTGCGAAGAACCAATGCCGCCTTCAGGTATATACAGAGAAAGAAAGGTGAATGGGAGAGAAGGCCACAGAACAGCGGACCGGCCAGGGACCCAACAACGTCGTGGAACCGCCGCTGTAGTTGCGGAGTAGTTTATCAGCTAAATTGCCAGGGTCGAAGCTAATTGCGCGCCGCCCGCTTATCGTTGCAAGCCTGCAGCGGTATCCTAAGCTCCTTTTGCGCCTGGAGCCTCGGGCTTTCTCTACACGAGCAAGATTGTCGTACTGCCGTACTGCGAAATTGCACTCTTGACTAACCTTGGGTTGCGCTTGGAAACGACGGGCCTCGAAATGTCTCGTGTTCGGAGCGCCAACGTCGACACACCCCACATTCAGCCCACCAGATCACGCCCGTGCGGCGGGCACTCGGTCCTACATTCACGCTTTCACTCGACAAGTCTCACCTCTTGGCGCCAAACTACCATAGCCTGATTGCGGCTCAAATTTACCTTTGTTGCGTCTTGCATATCCAGCATATACCCCTTAGCTAGTCGTTCACCAGCAACTCACCATCAACACCGCCCGCTCCTCTCCTGCCCAACCGTCTTACTTGCGTAGATCGTGGGCCCCAGCTTGTCAAGATCGTCATGACGTGCGTGGCATGTGTTTCACTCTTCTCTCCATGTGCACACCGTCTCAACCACCCCCCTAAAGTGCAATGGCGACAACAACAGCAAACACCTAACCGCTCAACCATACCTCGCTTGTAGGGCTATTGAGTCTCTCCCAAAACGGAAGACCACAGCATGGACTATGCCCGAAACAACACAGCGGCCGCTCCAAAGCGTGGAGTTGATAAGGCGTGGCAGGGATGCCGATCCCTTAGCCTACTTCATCGCCTCGGCTGTGACACCTGGCGTACCCAGCACGTCTAAATATACTCGGAACGGACGACTTTGCCTTCCGCAAGCGCATATCAACAGCAGTACCGCAAGAGCTTGCGCATGTCCAGAGCCGACTCTTGTAGCCTCGATGAAGCCGAAGAAGAGATGGTTCTTCGCGCATTTTGCGGTATAATTGAACACCCGGTGCTTACTTTTCCCGCTAGCGGCCTTGATCGCCGCTTATTGGCCACATGTCCTTTAGCGATATGCAGTGGTGAGCCGACTGTAGGATTGAAATGAGCGCTCATCATTCCAATTACAAGCCGGTTGGTGGCGCGTCCCGAAGTAGGGACGACAACAATGAGACCTTAGCAGACTTTTGCGATATCTGACCATGCTACCATGGACAACCTTGGAAGTCTACAGGCGACGCATGCCCATGCTGCTAGGGCAGATATCGCCTTGAGAAAGACAATATCCTTCTCCATCGTCACCAGTGCGATTCTACGCTTCAATGCTCCCACCACCGTATAATGTGTGAGCCGTTGTTGGCCGGTGTTTGGTTGACTACACATTTAAGTTCAACCAACACTTGATCGTCGTCTTCAAGAGCCGCAGGTGGGGCTCTACGTTGCGGCAATGACGGAAGCAAGCCCCATACCATCGTCATAAGTTCATACACCGTTGCTTCTGAACACAACCCCTCCTAAAACTCCCCGCGATACTTCAGAATCCCCTCATCCCCATATTCTCAGCCGTCTCTTCCATTGCATCACTAAAATGTCGTCTCAAGCCAGCTCTGAACCCCTCCAAATTTACGAGATATCCGACTTTAAGTTCCAAAATGGCTCTACACTACCAAAACTCAAAGTGGCTTACAAGATCCTCAACCCGCACAACAGCAAGATAGCAGTTGTTCACACGTGCTTCAAGGGTCGTATTGACACAACCCTCACGCACGCCGACGCCGCTCTGGAGAACCATAAGATCATCCTCATCGCCCTTCTTGGCAATGGCGAATCTTCTAGTCCGTCAAACACGCCCAGCTTTCCCAGTACCATCGAATACATGGATTGCATCAACGCTCAGTACCCTCTCCTTACCCAAGAACTTGGTATCAAAGAAGTGGACGTCATGCTAGGATTCTCGATGGGGGGCCAGATCACTTATCATTGGATAACTGCCCATCCTGATTTCGTCAAGCACGCCGTAATCGTCTGCTCATCGGCCCAAACAAGCAGACACAACTACCAATTCCTCGAGGGGCCAAAAGCAGCACTGGAGAATGCAAAGAGCCCCGAAACGGGTCGTAGGGCATTCGCAAAAGCGTACTCGGCATGGTTAACAAGCGCCGAATGGTTCGATGAAGAATGTTACAAAGCAATGGGCTTCCAGCAACTGCGGGACTGGGACGACAACGTCACGATACAAGGCTATGAAAGCTGGAGTGGTGACGATCTCAAGGTTATGTTGGGAATGTGGCAGCGTGGGGACATGACTCGATGCACCAAAGCAGGAGACCTTGAGTCGGCACTAAAAGGTATCAAGGCAAAAGTTTTGCTGATGCCCTGTGAAACAGACCAGTATTTCCGGCCATATGTCAGCGAGAGAGAAGCCAAGAGTTTGGAAGATGTAACGGTGGAGATTATCCCGAGTATCTGGGGACATATTGGAGGTGGCGGGGCGAATCCGAAAGATGTGGACTGGATGGATCATCGCATCAAGCTGTTTTTGCGGGGTTTGGTCTGATGTTGACAGATCACGTTGAAGATGAGCATGTTTCAAGCACATTCATCGTTACAAGGCTATAGAAGCTTGTCAAGATGGAGTGACCTATACACGTAATACCCAACGTAGTCGAAACGAGCCTTAATCAGATATGAAGGTTGTGTTAAAAGAAATAACCGTTGCGGTGCATAGGCCCAATTTTGTTACAAGGCTTAATGTCGAACGTCTGCGATGATGTTTCAGGTCGCCGCGAACCAATCGCGGAGGAGCCTCGTCGATATGTCACCGCCAAGCTCCTACATCCGCTGCCTCAACTCCACCCAGGCACCTTCTCGAAGATGCACCTGCACCGCTGTGCGCAATCTTCAGAAGACAGCTGTATAATCACATTCACCCATCAGTATCTCTGCAGCGAAAATGGTGACTTCCCCAGCAACTTCGTCGTCGGAACAAACCTCCGATACCGCAGCTCCCAGGAGCCGGCGGTCACGCGTGTCGGCTGAGCACACATTGAACAGAGTGCGCGAGAACCAGAGGAGACATCGGGCCCGACAGCGAGACCACGTCGCCTCTCTTGAGCAAAAGCTTGCAGAGACTGAGAAACTGCTTGCGGAGGCAAGGGCGGAAATCGCCGTGCTAAAAGGACAATCGGCCACCAACTCACAACAGCAAACCAACGACGATCAAATCGAAAAAGCGGCGCGAGGAGTAAGATATGAAGAAGGAGGGAGTTCTGGACTGCAAGAAATACCATGCCCAGCACCATCCAGCCAGCAAAACTCGCTAGCCCTCACCGTCCAACCAGGAGCCGACATCGACCCGCAGCTGGCCTACCCTGATGTCCCCATTCCAGACCTTTCCTTCCTTGGCGATTCATCCTTCTATCTGTCGTCGAATACCTCGCCTACAACTTCGCTCTTGGCCATTCCGTCACAGGACCTTAACATCATCTCCAGCGACAACACTACCACCGGCCCACCACCATGTTGTAGCGACCCATTACCGTTATCGAATTCGACTAATGACTTGGAGTGCTCGTCGTGCAAGACTAAACCTCCACCCGATCCATCAGAGAGCACTACGCTGTGCGCTCAGGCATTTGTTATGATTGGGCAGCAAAACTTTAGGAATCTAGATCCGGATACCATTCGACTTTGGTTGGCGCAGGGACTGAGACGAGCGCAAAGGGAAGGTGAGGGATGTAGGGTTGAAAACGGGGCGTTGATGAGGTTGTTGGATTTTATCAGCGGATTGTAGGGTTCGACGTTGGTTATGAAGATGGTTTCCTGTCGAGACTTAGACACCTGACTAGAATTTGGCATGACGTGTACGATGGGGCTCTCTTGAAGCAGTATAGACTATCGGTGCCTACCGACGCAGGAGTGTGGTTCCAGATGTAGGTCTCTTTTCATTTTGTATTTATGGAATATTGGAATGATAGCAGTGCTACCACTCGTCTCGTTTTTCTTTTGCACTAAGCAATACAATACCTCATGCCTACAACACTTTATGCCAACTCACACAATCATTGCCTGGTTGCCTAATCTAACAAAAAGATGGGCGAGACCAACGAATATGTGTGATACAACGATGTGCGGGGTAAAGCCGCTTACCCAATATTCAAATGACATATCACTCCATTCGAGTGACATACCGACTAGGTTTTTATATCAATAATTTCCAACCTACCGAAGCCGTTACTGCTATCCTCAGTCTATCTATCTACCCGAGCAAGGAACAACTAGGCATATCTTCCATTAATTCCATTCAAACCCAAGCAATCAAATCCGATCATGACCTCAGACCTAGATACAACATACTCAACCATCCACGCACGCTACACCGCCACTGCACTATCCAAAAGCCCAAGCACTAATAATGCATCCGCCGTTGCTCGCACATTCGGCTACACACAGGCTGAACTTTCTTCCATCCCTACGGATTCAAACATTGGTCTGAGCTGTGGAAACCCACTCGCATTAGCGAACCTGAAAGAGGGTGAGACGGTCATCGATCTAGGCTGTGGAGCAGGTTTCGATGTTTTCCTTGCTGCAAAGAGGGTAGGAGAAACGGGAAAGGCTATTGGTATAGATATGAACGAGGTTCGTGTTTCCATCGTTCAAGTGACATGAGAAGAGTGACGAAGATTAACAAGTTCGACATAGCACATGCTTCAGAAAGCGCGTCTCAATGCCGATAAATCAGGTACACGCAACACCGACTTCATACACTCTCTTATTACATCCATCCCCCAGCTCGAGAGTTCCACCGCTGACGTCGTGACGTCGAATTGCGTGATAAATCTCGTTCCTAAAGTCTCCAAGCATCTAGTCTTCAAGGAGATGTACCGGTTGCTCAAGCCAGGTGGTCGGGTAGCCATATCAGATATTCTCCTGAAGAAAGATCTGCCAGAGAATCTGAAGAACAACGTAGCGTTACTTGTAGGGTGCGTAGCAGGAGCGAGTAAGAAGGAGGAGTACGAGGGGTGGCTGGAGGAAGCGGGGTTCAAAGAGTCAATTGTTGCGGAGGCGGGTGGCGATTTGAACATTTACAAGGGCGAGAAAGACCTCGGCGTAGAGCCACGGTCGTGCTGTGGTGGAGACGGAGGTGTGGCGGAGGACATGAGAAGAGAACTCCAGGATGTTGATTTGAATGAATGGGCTGGTAAGTAAGTGAGGGGATCTATTCGTCCGACAGCAACTAACTGGGTCATAGCATCCTTCAAGATATACGCCGTCAAGCCATGAGACAGAGATCAAGTGTGAAGAGAGAAATCGTAAATGTTTCATTACCTATACGCTATGCAGATAGAAAAGACCCATATAAACATACAAAATGTGAATCATGCATCGTCACATTGACCAATCATGAAAGTCTATCGTCCCATCCTGATGACACCGGCGTGCACCAGCTTCTGGATCTTGGAACGAATGCTTGGGTTCTTCAGGTGCTCTTGCAGAGCCGCAGGGTCGTCCTTAGCCTGTTGAAGAATGGCCTGCATAACCGGATCTTGTAAAATGCCGACAATCTAAAATATGTTAGTACAAGGATATAGTTTGCGAGTTGGATAAGACGTACCTCAGGATCACGCTGAATACGCTCCATGGTCTGCTGCTCAGTCTCGCCCTCGCGTGCAGAGTATTGTGCTTGCAGAGCCTTGGACTCTTGTTGTTGAATCTCCCGTGCGTTCTTGCCATCCTTGTCGTGTTCCATGGCTTCTGCGCAGACGTTGATACATTTGTTGTACTCGCGCATGGTGAAGTATGCCTGGGCTTTCCGCAGGTATGCCCGGATGAAGTCGGGGTCGCGCTTGATTGCCTCGTCACAGTCCTGTACTGCCGATGGGAACTCAAGCAGCTTGATGAAACAGGCGGCGCGGTTAGAATATCCTCTTGGGTCGTCCGGTGCGCGCTTTATCATCTCCGAGTATGCCTCCACGGCCTCTGGCCAGTTGGACTCCTTGAATTTGGCATTACCGAGCTCGCGCGCCTTCTCAGCCTCTTCAGGGTTGATGTATGACTCCCTCTCCTTGATGACCTTGGCTTTCTCTGCAGCACGGAGCTTTGCAAGGACTTCGGGTGTGCGGTGTTCGGTTTGTGCCTTTTGGTAGTACTTGATTGCGTTGCCAAGATCACCCATCTTTTCGTAGGCGGTACCGATGCGTGCAAAGGCCCTGCATAGTGTTAGCGCATAATTATTGCAAGACAGAACGTGACATACTTGGCAATGATCTTGAAGTCGGCCAGGATCTCGCGACCATACTCGACAGCCTCATTACAAGCCTGAATGCAGCCTTCGTAGTCGCCCTTCTCGAACTTGGCAGCTCCAAGGTTGGTCTTGTATGTGATGTCCTTGTGTGTTTCCCAGGCCTTGTTGTAGTTCTCAATAGCCTCGTCGAATTGTCGTTTCTTGTAGAACTCGGTTCCCTTCTTCTTCAGCTCGTCGGCCTCGGCCTTTGCCTTCTTCGCAGCCTTGTCCTCCTCAGACTCTTCTACCGGTTCTGGCTCTGGCTCTGGCTCTGGCGCCTTCTTGGGTTGGCTGGGAGCTGGTCGTGCATCAGGCATCTCGACGTCCTCCTCGGCTTCTTTGGCACCTGCATCGCCTGCGCCTCCAGCACCAGGTCCCTGACCGAACGACATGTCAATGCCTAGCAGGACGCTCATAACTTGGAGGAAGCGGGGATCCTGCATGAAGGCGCCAGCCATGTTGGGGTTCTTCTGTAGCTGCTGAAGCTTGCTCATGAACTCTGCATCGCCGAGGAGAGCGGCCGTCTTGGGATTCGCGGCGAGCTTTTGGATCATGTTGGGGTCGCTGAACATGCCACCGAGGCCTGCACCGCTGTCGTTCGCCTCTGCCTCGACTGCGCGCTTGACAGCATCGAGACCGGACTTTGCTTGAGCATTGCTTGGGTCGAGCTTGAGTGCCTCCTCAAAGGCTTCTGTGGCTGCCACTGTCGGGAGTTAGCAACATTCTCTCATAGATGGGATCCACACGTACCCAAGTCACCTTCGCCGTGTAGTGCCGTTCCCTTGCGACCCCAGCCCTTGGCCCAGTCTGGCTTGATTTCCGTCACCTTGTTCGCATCGTCGAGCGCCTTCTGCCAGTCTTTTAACGAGGCATATGCGCCTGATCGGTTCGAGTATAGGACGTGATTTGAGGGGTCGAGCTCGATTGCCTGTGAGAACTTCTCGCTGGAGTTTGTTAGTAAACTGTCGCTAGGCAGCGTTTGCGGGGGACCCTACATGGACTCGGCGAACTTCTTCTCAGCGAAGAGCTTGTTTCCCTCTGCTTTTAGTGCGTCCGCCATGTTGGAGGTATTTTCGATTTAGGGTGATTCGGGAATGTGACTGCGAATCTGCTTGGTACACCGCGCGTACGAGGGACAGGCTCTGAATTATAGTTTGATGTGTAGCTAGAATGTTCGATTGCGGAGCTCTGCTTGGGAAAGGCGTCCGTGCGGGCAGCCGTCTACAGGGCTCGTCATATACCCCACCACGAGCCTCACGCATCTCACTTTCAGCTTGGTGAGTACTATCTCAGCCCTCGTTCAGCCCCTCCTGTGCGCCCTTCTTTCACCTTCTACGCGACTGCTTTGTTCAGCCTTTGGAGACAATGACGAAATCTTGCGGCCGACTGCAAGCTTTTGCCTTTTCTACGCGTTTTGTCGTCTGCAAAAGCTGATGCGTGAATACGCGGGTGTTCATACTAACTTTCTCAACAAGTTCGCACCTGGAAGAATCTGAGGCCACAGTTATTTCATTTCCAAGATACAGTCCATCTCTTCTCCAGCCTATCAATTTCTTCGTCCAAGTTCATCAGCCGAAATTCCATCATGAGCCAACTCGTTTGCCAGGCCCAGTGGAATGCTGAGGCTGCTTCAAGTGGACATCATGACAAGATCATGGTCCAGAATCTAGAGGTTGTTGTAAATGCAGGCAAAGACGTCTGGGGGCGCCAGAAAAAGCAGCGCGCCTTGATCAGCGTCACGTTGACATTGGGGAAGCAGTTCACATCGGCTTCTTCTACGGATTCTGTCGATGATAGTACAGTTCACTATGGTACGCTCAGCAAGGCTATACAAGCACGCTTTAAAGATGACACCATGGCCTGGATGTCAACTGCCGCTCTGTCGGCCGCTGTCTCTAAAAGTGTACGCGACGTCGCAGGCTCGACAAACATATATGCGATCGAAACGAACATATGTTACATGAAAGGCAGCATGTTCGGCGAAGGCGCTGGACACATTACATCTCGCATTGAAAGGACTGGCACCCATTCGAACGTGCTGTATCTGCGCGACGTCCGCATCCCATGCTTGATTGGTGTCAACGCCAATGAGAGGTTGCAGAAGCAGCCCGTAGTCCTCAACGTTTGGGTTGACAACATACATGACTCTCGTGTTGAAGACTACCCCCAATTGGAGACCCTCTTGTTTGAGGTAAGCACAACAAAACATAAAAGTCCACACTGACTGACCGACGTAGTTGATATCCGGGTCTACTTTCCAAACTATTGAGAGCCTACTAGCGTGGCTGGTTGAAGAACTTAGACAAAAGTTCTTCACGCAAGAAGTAGACCAGAGCGCATGGATCAAGCTGAGGATCGAAAAGCCTCATGCTGTGCCTTTTGCAGACGCACCCGCCGTCGAAGTAACACGACCAGTACGGTCGAACTAGGGCGAAGCTGTATTACTAGTGAACTGCCGTAGTGGGTCAAATCATCGCTCCAGCCATGGAAATGTCTGCAAGTTTTCCCAGACGCAAGCCACAGGAACAGCTAGAGCAACAGCTAAGGATGTCTGTTCCTGACTTGGGCTAGGGGGTAGGTCCGTTAGCGCAGCCGGTACCGATTCAGTCTCCACTTCCAATAATTGTCCCTGTCTTACACCTGCGACATGTACTTGGGAACTGCCAAGCGTCTAAGCTTGTTAGAAGCTCACTGCCATCTTGGTTCTCGGTATCGCGGGTATCCCTAGACAAAGTGATTGTGTGCTTGACTGATATCATTCTTGTTTGAGCGCAATGTAATTGGTTGGTCACTAGTATCGATACATCACAGATCAAGCCACTACAGAGGCTTGACGAGTTTCCAACACAGAAATTTACGGTGGAGATAGGCGTTATTGAGGCTGCCGTCTGACATGGGCATCGTTGTTGTCTGAATACACCGACTAGTAGTAGATCCCCCACGTGGTTCAAAGCCACATCAGACGTGTACCTGCGCCACTATTGCAGCCACGACTTTCACTTGGAGCCGCTGCTCACGCGTAGATCTTGGGAGTCCTCATTCATCCGGTTCCCCACTGTATTCGCCTCCGCGTTGCATTGTGCATTTGCCACTGCGGAAAAATTGTAACATGGCTGCAAGCTGGGGAAGTCTGTTGGGGAGCACTGGGAGCAAGTCGGAATAGCGGTCTTGGGGCAACGTCAGGTTTACTGCATACCCCTGCTAGTGCCGCGGCCAGATGAGGGGCTTTTCAATTTATCGACATAGCTCTCCGAAAAGTTATTCAACAATTGTGCATCATGAGGTTGAGCAGATAGGCGGCCGCGCAGCCATTCGATAGTCGCTCTTGACTCGGGCGGATACGGGAGGTTGGGGAGGAGCGTCGCAAGACGAGGCCTTGTAAAGGAAGGAGGGAGTGCAATTGGAAGATGTGGGTGAGCGAATCCCGAGGGTGTAGTCCGATACTGCAACTGGAAAATCCACTGTGAAACAGGTGTAATGGCTGCAATGATGGTGTGAAATCAAGTATCAGAATCTCGTCGTGTGCAAGAACTATTGGCGGCGTCGCCGTTGCCATGCAGAGATGCTACGCTCGAAACTGCCCTTCTGGTGCGCTCGCGGCAATAACATGCATGTATAAAAGGCAAATTCACACCGTCTCTTCACTATCCCCATCGAAACCCCAAGCCTGTTCTCGTTACCAGGCCATAGCTTGTTCTCGACTTGCCCCACGTTCAACGCCAAGCGCGACCCATTGCCTTTAAGGAGACCAGCTCCCCAACACTTGTTGTTCTCTACACCACTCTCTCCTCACGGAACAGCCTTTTCTCTCTCTCACTTACACAATGGCATCTCGCGCGATTCCTTCTCACTTGAAGCCCTCTGCTGCTGAGGGCGGCGAGGGTGGCTTCTCATCCCAGCGCCATCACGGCAAGTCACAGTCCCATGTGGTAAGTACCTTCTCTCTATTTCTGCGGCTTACCAGCCTGTATCTTGCTTTTTCATCCCTGCTTTCTTCGATTCGTTTCGTTGCTGCAAAAGTCGATGCAGCAGTCCTCACCGCTACCAGATACCCTGGCTTGGGTATAGTGGGTACCGAAGGAGGCTGGCATTGAGCTGGCACTGATTGCTGGGGTTGCAGCACCCCGCCTAGCCATGTTTCGATACGTTTTCCCCTCGAGTAGATCAGGCGATTCGTCAAAGATGATGTTCGCTCCTATTCTGGAGGGTTGTCCCCGCGTTCTCATCGCCTGCTCCCCGCGGCTGCGATGTCGTGGTATCAACAGCACCTACACTCTCAATGGCTTCAACGTAGCTCGAATTTGTTCTCAATCGACTAACAATCAATCTTCCAGGCTTTCGAGAACACATCTACCAATGTTGCCGCCTCGCAAATGCGCAATGCGCTCAACAAGCTCGCCGACACCGTCACCGACCCCGCCGAGAAGAAGGTCAGTCACAATTCTTCTGCACCTTTCCAATCTTTGTTCGCCGCCCAAGCATCGCGATATACTTGCTCAGGCCAATGCCCACAGCCACAAGCTATCGGCGTGTTTGGGAGGGGAATTTGGGAAATACGTCATTCTGAGCGTATACTGACCCACTATAGTACTTCGAGACGGAAATGGACAACTTCTTCGCTCTGTTCCGACGATACCTCAATGACAAGGCCAAGGGTACTGCCATTGACTGGAACCGCATCGCTCCTCCCAAGGCCGAGCAGGTCGTCAGCTACGATGACTTGGCCAACACCGAGGCTGTCGAATACCTGAACAAGTTGGCGGTCGTTAAGCTTAACGGTGGTCTCGGTACCTCCATGGGTTGCGTTGGCCCCAAGTCCGTCATCGAGGTCCGTGACGGTATGTCCTTCTTGGACTTGTCAGTGCGCCAAATCGAGTACCTGAACCGCACATACGACGTCAACGTCCCATTCGTGCTGATGAACTCGTTCAACACCGACACCGACACCGCCAGCATCATCAAGAAGTACGAGGGACACAACATTGACATCCTCACCTTCAACCAGTCGAGATACCCCCGTATCCTCAAGGACTCGCTCCTGCCTGCTCCTAAGGAGAACAAGTCAGACATCGCCAACTGGTACCCCCCTGGCCACGGTGACGTTTTCGAGTCTCTCTACAACACTGGCATGATCGACAAGCTCATGGACCGCGGTATTGAGTACATTTTCCTCTCCAACGCCGACAACCTGGGTGCTGTTGTCGACCTCCGCATCCTCCAGCACATGGTTGACTCCCAGGCGGAGTACATCATGGAGTTGACCGACAAGACCAAGGCTGATGTCAAGGGTGGTACCATCATCGACTACGAGGGCTCCGTTCGTCTGCTTGAAATCGCCCAGGTTCCCAAGGAGCACGTCAACGAGTTCAAGTCGATCAAGAAGTTCAAGTACTTCAACACCAACAACATCTGGATGAACCTCGCGGCCATCAAGCGTGTTGTTGAGGCTAACGAGCTTGCCATGGAGATCATCCCCAACGGCAAGTCCATCCCTGCCGACAAGAAGGGCGAGGCCGACATCTCCGTCCTCCAGCTCGAGACAGCTGTTGGTGCTGCTATCAAGCACTTCAAGAACGCACACGGTGTCAACGTACCCCGAAAGCGTTTCTTGCCCGTCAAGACCTGCTCCGACCTCATGCTTGTCAAGTCTGATCTTTACACACTCCAGCACGGTCAGCTAGTGATCGACCCCAACCGCTTCGGACCCGCCCCCTTGATCAAGCTCGGCAGCGATTTCAAGAAGGTATCCAGCTTCCAGTCCCGTATTCCCTCCATTCCCAAGATTGTCGAGCTTGACCATCTGACCATTACCGGTCCGGTCAACCTTGGCCGTGGCGTTACCCTCAAGGGTACCGTCATCATCGTTGCGACTGAGGGCTCCACTATTGACATCCCTCCGGGTTCCATCCTCGAGAACGTCGTCGTCCAGGGTTCGCTCAGATTGCTTGAGCACTAGAGTGGTTGAGGCGGCATTTTCTTCACGGGTTTATAGATTTTTTTTTTGAGGATACAGGTCTTCTTGTAGCGATTGATAACGAGAGATGACTGCATTGCAACGTGCTTGGGCAAAAGGACTCGGGCGGTAATGGGGTGTAATATTCACGCCCGGTCAATGATTCACACATCATCATAGACAAAATGCATCTTGAATACAATATATAATCCATCATCAACATTATTTGGTCATGCATTTCGCCCTTGTAGGCTGTTTGGAGCTAGTTTCATCTCGTTTAGTAGTCCGCTGTTCCCGCGCACCTAACAAGCCTGGATCATCCCAACAGCATTGGGGTGACCGATGTCTGCAGTTATACTTCCAAGAAATGGTGCCTGATTGCGGCCTCACGCCATCTCAGCCTTGCGGCCCTACCACGGTGATGTCAGAATGTCACCAGCCACGCAGCCAACCCGCGAACAACAACCCCCACCATTTCTACCGGTTCCTGCGCAGCGCAGAGGCGCAGTCGGCCAGTCATCTGCCTGTTGCATAGCGATGATGCCTGCTGATAGCGGCGAACAGCTCTTGATATAAGCAGCCGTGGCTTCCTGACGCTGGCGCGTTGTACACGCCTGCTTTCTCGCGTCGCACGCAGCGGGGTTCACGGTACCCTGACGAGCATCAGCTCCGAGCATCGAGCCGAAGAAGATATATATGCCTGACCTCGTTCAAAGCGGTTGTACACATTAACGAAATGGCTCCCGAACCGATATCACCGAAAGAGCACCAGGAAGAGCGCGCGGCCAACATAGCGCAAGCGGATGCGGCGCATCGGGAAGCATATGACTACTGGGGTTACCTTTTCAAGGAGGACAAATGCGGCACCGATTTACTAGATCGCCTGCTCAAGGGCATCGCTGAGGTCATTGTGAGTTGAGTGCAGCTTCAGAGATAACTGGGAGACGTCAAGCTGATGTGTCGCTGCAGAGCAAGAAGTTCGAGCCAGGCGACTCGCCTGATCTCACGCCGTCGCAGATCGCAGCCTGGTACCGTAGTGTTGGGGGCGATTACGACGTGCTATTCACAGATACACCGCCATCATCAGTCGCATTCATATATCGCTCACTAGGCGCATACCACAGCCTGCAGCCAGGGCCACACGACGACGGCTACTCGAGCCCTACCATACCCGCGCTCAAGAAGAACGGCTTTGTGACATGGCAGACAATACAACTCTTGCTGGGGCCAGAAGAGCATGTACCTTTTCTACAGAGGGCCGTCGAGATAGACGATATACCAGATCCAGAAACTGGCAATATCTTTCCCAAAATACTACCCAAGGAATGTTTTCCCGAAAAGCCCGACGATGCTATGGAGACGTGGTATCAGAGCGTTGCTGCCAGGCTCAAGAAAGAGGCAGACGAGGAAGCGAGCGGGGGCAGTGCTGCTGATGAGCCAAAGCCACGTACTTCGACTGATAGTGAAGGCACCTCAGCTGACGAGAAGCATGGCGCATACCGATACTTTGAAGACCCACTCTACCGGATGGGAAGACCACGGCCGACCTTCATGCGCCATGTCTCGAAGCAGTCTCCACGGCCGGGCGACGACCATGGAAGAGCCGTCACATCAAGGGTGAGGCATATGCTGAATCCTCTAAATTATGTTGGAAGTAGAAAGAAGAGCATTCCGGGCCGATATTCAGACGAAGACTACTCGGATGAAGATGCCACACCCATTGCGCCTGGTCCTCAGCCAGGAGCTCGATATCCCTCGAACAAACGCCCACATCCGCCACGACGCGAATCCTCGTTATCAGCAACAGACTCGGATTCTGATCCAGACCGCCCGCCTTCCCGTCGCCATGAACCCGTACTGCGCTCTCACCGATCTCATGAGCCGCCCGTATCGCAGCCGGGGTACTTTCCCGCCTACAGCGAGGCGCGCCGATTCTCGAACCAACATGATGCCGTTCGAATGGATGGAAGAAGCTCAAGTGCGACTTCTCCTCAACCCGTTTATCGACCAACTACATCGCCGCTCTTTGCGACTCAGGTTGCGCAAGCTCAACGTGAAGCCGCACAGAAATACTATGTTTCGAGACCAGCTATGCCACCACGCACCAGCTACAGACCGGTTCCAGCTCCTGGTGTGCGATGGGGTCCACAGACTGTGCACCCTGTAAGCCCACCCCGAGATGGCGAGTCACCATATGTCCGTGAGCGTGAACGGGAACGCGACCGCGATAGAGAACGTCACCATCGCGACCGGGACCCTTACGAGATGGGTAACGGCAGAAGGGGTTCGCATCGACGTCACTCAGAAGATGTTGAATATCCACGTGAGCGTACTCGTGACTCGGCCAGGACACGCAGCCACGATAGGGTCAAGGATGAGTGGGATGATCGACATGACAGGGACAGAGACAGAGACAGAAAAGCAGGGTACGATGATCGCGTAAGAGACGATAGTCGGGAGAGGGAAAGGGCCCGAGATCCCCGAGTGCATAGGTATGTGTCTGGGGTGCAGGATGGAGTGTCTGGCAGAAAGTATCCAGTCGCTAGCGGTTCTCCTTACTAAAAATGTACAGTGTTAGGGGCCAGTTTATGAGGCTACTCAAGGAATTTTGAGCCACAACAGTTCAAGATGGAACAGTTTGCATTTCGCAACCTATCGGCTATGCTGTGGGGTTTGTCAGGCTGGGTGAGTTCTCGATGGGTCTGGAAGATCTGTGGCTTGGACGGATGTGGGTCGAGCATGTTCAGCTCAGCAGTCTGAGGAAGCGTGGTCTTGCGAGTTTGCAACGCCTCTAATGCACACGCGGTGTGACCGCAAGGCTAGTAATACATGAATGTGGTGTGTCAATACAGAGTGAGTGGTGTAAAGGTCGCTGTTCTTGCATGTAGTCTGCATGTTTGATATTCTTTTTCCATGCAACTATGTCGCGATTCTTTCTTCTGAAGTTGCGGTAAGAAAGTGATGGAAGAAGGATTTTGCCGACGACGTGGCGGTGTAATACTGCTGCTATGTTCTCACATGTTTGCGTTTGGGTGTGCGGGACGGACCCTGGGGCTAATGGTTAGATAAATCAACGGGAACGCCGTGCGAACCCTGCAGGTGGGTAGCGTCACGATAGATGGAGGGGGAGACAAGGTTCTGATCATCGAACAATGACTGGCTAGCGGCACGGCACAGTAGTGATACAGGGTGAAAGGTTGTCTGCAGCTGAAGGTCGGGATACGCGTAGTTCTCTATGTCATATGTGGCAGTGCAGGGCGAGCACGGGCGGATCGTCATGGCCTACAGCTGCTAGTCAAGACCTCATCCAAGCTCCCTGATTGCGTCTGAGTAGGACCGCTTGCGCGTCTGTCTCCTACGAGAACTCTGAATATAGTCATTCCTTCGGCCTTTCCTTTGTTTTTTTCCTCCCGTGCCAGGAATTACTTCGGCGAGTAAGCTAGGTAGTGCCATCCACCCGAGTATAGCTGCAGTATCGCTAAAGCATAGCTGCCGCCGTTTACCAAGGAAAGCTAACCAGCCAAACAACAGGTTTCCAGAAACCCAACACCACCACCCAGCCGCTCTCTTTCTTCTACCTCGCTCCCACGACTCCCCCAGCCTGTTTCCTATCCACCCCTCGATCGCGAGCGCCCAATTGCACGCCCAGCATCGGCAACTGCAACACAGCGTGAGCGGGTCGGACTTCCGCTCGGTATTGCCGACATGGCTACGCAATCGCGTGAATCCGAGCTGAAGCAGCAAGGCTTGCTCGACGCTGCAAAGGACCCCAATTCCTCGATTACGGCGCACCAAGCAGAGAATGCCCTGGTCGATCAGGCGCAAGCGGGCGGCAGCGCGGCCTTCCAGTTCGACCCCGATGCGAGCCCCGAGCAGAAGCGGGCACAGGCAAGAGCGCGTGTCCCCGCAAACTTCCACCACGAGCGTAACAAGAATGCGACGGCACTCGTGTCAGACGCCGACAACGACAAAAGCCCTCCAGAGTACGACCTCCCTACGCCCACAAAAGATGGCGCCGTAGAAACCCCAGAGCAGGCCAAGGCAAACGGCCACGCGCCCCAACACCTCGACGACGATGCGCGTTGGGATCGCGTTGGGTGGGCGCCGCGATTCGGAATGCCAGGCTCGGAGAACAAGGACGAGGAAGAGGCGTCCCTGGCCGACCACCAGACATGGCTGGAAGGCCGGATAGAGGACAAGTTCTTTGGCGACTGGTACCACAACACAGGCATCATCATCTTTGCGTGTCTGAGCTCGTGGGTCGTCGGTGTGCTAGGCGGCGGACTGGGCTGGATCATGATCTTCATGGCCATTTGCGGCACCTACTACCGAACTTCGATCCGTCGCGTGCGCCGCAATGCGCGAGACGACCTCAACCGCGAGATGGCCAAGAACAAGCTCGAGACGGACACTGAGAGTCTCGAGTGGATCAACAGCTTCCTTGTCAAGTTCTGGCCTATCTACGCGCCTGTCCTCTGTGACACCATTGTGGGTACTGTAGACCAAGTGCTCTCGACGTCGACACCAGCCTTTCTCGACAGCCTGAAGATGAAGACGTTCGTTCTCGGAACAAAGCCTCCGCGCTTGGAGCACGTCAAGACGTACCCCAAGACACAGGATGACATTGTTCTCATGGACTGGAAGTTCAGCTTCACGCCCAACGACACAGCCGATCTTACCGCGAGACAGATCAAGAACAAGATCAACCCAAAGATCGTCCTGGAAATCCGCATTGGAAAGGGTCTTGTTAGCAAGGGTCTCGATGTTATCGTAGAAGACATGGCCTTTTCCGGTCTGATGCGCTTGAAGTTCAAGCTACAACTGCCTTTCCCCCACATTGAGAAGGTCGAAATGTCCTTCTTGGAGCGCCCAACCATCGACTACGTTTGCAAGCCTTTGGGTGGAGAGACGTTCGGTTTCGACATCAACTTCATTCCTGGTCTGGAGACTTTTATCATGGAGCAGATCCATGCCAATTTGGGCCCAATGATGTATGATCCCAATGTGTTCCCTATCGAGATCGCCAAGATGCTTGCAGGTAACCCTGTCGATCAAGCGATCGGAGTTCTACAAGTCCACTTCCACGGTGCACAAGGTCTCAAGAACCCTGACAAGTTCTCCGGCACCCCTGATCCATATGCCACAGTTTCTATCAACAACCGTAATGTGCTCGCACGCACCAAGACGGTACACGAAAACGCCAGCCCTCGTTGGAATGAGACTGTCAACATCATTGTAACTTCGTTGAAAGATTCGCTTACTATCAACCTCTTTGACTACAACGACATCCGCAAGGACAAGGAGCTTGGTACCGCTACATTTGCCCTTGAGCAGCTAGAGGAAATTCCCGACCATGAGAACTTGCAGCTCGAGGTCATGTCAGGCGGTCGCGCTCGTGGTATGGTAACAGCAGACGTGCGCTTCTTCCCGGTGCTGGAAGGCACCACACTCGAAGACGGTACCAAGGAGCCTCCACCAGAGTCACGTACGGGTATTTGCAAGTTCACTGTTGAGCAGGCCAAGGACATGGACGGCAGCAAGAGCATGATTGGGCAGCTCAGCCCATACGCCATTCTGTTGCTCAACGGCCACGAGATTCACAAATCGCGGGTCATGAAGAGGACGAATCAGCCCATCTGGCCAGATGCGACCAAAGAAATGCTCATCACCGATCGTAAGAAGGCCAAGCTCGGTCTTGTCATCAAGGACGACCGCGATCTCGCAGCTGACCCAATCCTTGGTACCTACCAGATCACTTTGGACGACATGCTGGAACTTATGGCCAAGGGTCACGAGTGGTATAACCTCGCAGGTACATCGAGTGGTCGCGTCAAGATGAAGCTTGACTGGAAGCCAGTTGCGTTGAAGGGCGCAGTGTCTTCCAGTGGTTACCTTACTCCAATCGGTGTGATGAGGTTGCACTTCCAGAGCGCGCGTGGGCTCCGTAACCTTGAAGCACTAGGCAAGTCGGATCCCTACGTACGCGTTCTACTCTCTGGTATCGAGAAGGGCCGAACTGTTGTGTTCAAGAATAACCTTGACCCTGATTGGGATGAGGTCATTTATGTGCCTGTCCATACTGTCCGCGAGAAGCTTACGCTAGAGGTCATGGACGATGAGAATCTCGGCAAGGATCGTCCACTCGGACACATCGAGCTCTTGGCTGGTGACTACATCCAGCAGGATGAGAACGGCGAGTACCTTGTTCAAGAACAGAAGCAACCCACAGCGGGACCTCTCCGATTGGCTGGACACGCTCAGCCTCATGGCATACTGAACTACACCTGCTCCTTCTACCCAACATATCCCACCTGGGACCCTGAAGAGGATGAGGAAGAAGAAGCCGAGGAGGTTACAGAAAACGGCAACGGCACCACCCGACCCATCTCTGTTGGATCCAAGCTCAGCCATCAACGTGTTGTATCCGGTTCTTCTACTTTGAGCAGGTCGGAGACTGCCGGTACCATCTCATCGCTCAAATCTACTGAGAAGGACATGGCCAAGGAGCTAGCGAAGAACGAGCTACAACAAGAAGAGTCGATCCCAGAGAAGCCAAAAATCGAGAAATTGAGGCTTACTGCGGACGACTTGCAGCAGTACGGTAGGTTGCATGTCACTTTTGAGGATACAGAGGAGTTTAGTTTGTTGAGTTGGTCACCCCGACTTACAACCTGTTCCCGTATCCTTATTCCTACCTTTGTGAGCATTAGCTAACGTGATGTAGAGTCCGGTCTGCTTGTCTTCAAGCTTATCGATGGCGAATTCGCAAGAACAGGTGGTCATGTCGATGTCATTATGGATGACATGGCCTACGCCAGCTATTCCAGCGCAAAGATCCGGAGCAACAAGATGACATTCAACGATGGTAGGTTCTGTCCGGATTCGAATTAACAGCTAAGCTAATCGCGATGCAGTTGGTGACACAATGATCCGTGAGCTCGATTTCTCCAAGATCACCCTCCGAATCATCGAACACGTCGACAATGATGGCGAGGACCATGAAGACCATGTCATTGCTAAGCTGACAGGAAACACTGTCGATACGCTGCGGAGATCTCTGAACACACCCACCCAGTTCACACTCAAGGACAAAAACGGACGTGATAACAAGATCACCGTCATGCTCAAGTACATTCCCGTAAAGATGCGTCTTGATCCCAGCGAATCATTCAACAACCAAGGTACATTGCGAGTAGATGTGCTTGATGCGGCAGATCTTCCAGCTGCGGACCGTAACGGCTTCTCGGATCCTTACTGCAAGTTCATGCTCAACGATAAGGAGGTGTACAAGACCAAGACACAAAAGAAGACTCTCCACCCAGCATGGAACGAGTACTTTGAGGTACCTGTACGAAGTCGAACAGCGGCTGACTTTGTCGTCAATGTCTACGATTGGGACTTTGGCGACAAGGCAGACTTCCTTGGCAAGTCATCCATCAACTTGGAGATTCTGGAGCCTTTCCAGCAGCAAGAGGTCACGCTTGCTCTTGATGGCAAGTCAGGCGCCATCCGACTTCGAATGTTGTTCAAGCCAGATTACGTCGTACGATCCCGTCAGGGCTCGAGTACATTCTCTGGCACCTTTGCTGTTCCAGGCAAGGTCATCGGTGCGCCCGTCAAGGGCGTTGGTAAGGGCGCTGCATTTGTTGGTGGTAACGTGGTCCGCGCAGGCACTTTCCTTGGCCGTGGTTTCAAGCGTAGAAAGTCGCGCGGCGAAGCCCCTGAAGAGGAGCTTGAACGACCAAGCACTGCAGAACGACCCTCAGCAGATACGCCCATGATCTCTGTCGAAGGCGAGCCGAACACACCTACTAAGGATAGTGCGAACCACAACAGACACCGCAGCTGGGGCGCTCAGAGTTTCCACAGCCGGTTTGGCGATGGCGGCTCTGGAGGTGCCGAGCAAGGCACAGCCAACATCACCGTTCTCAGCGCTGATGGCTTCCCTGCTAACACCAACCTACGTGTACACATCCAGCTCGGCAAGAAGGAAATTCACAAGACCGATCACATTAAGGCACCCCAAGGTTCTGTATCCTTTGATCCCAGCGAAGAGAGCTTCAAAGCGTCTTGTACCGCCGATGCCTTCTTCAGGCTCGTTGTCAAAGACCATAGCAGGTTCGGTGGCGACAAAGAACTCGGTGAAGCTCAATTTACCATCTCAGACCAGGGTGGTGGTGCCGAGCAGAACATTGGTGTAGGCAAAGGCATGGTATCTATACGCAGCAGCTTCCAGCCTAGTGATGCAGGGAGCCAGCAGGGTAGTATCAGTCCACGGCCGAAGACGTCGGAGAGAAGGGGATTGCTAAGGAGGGATCGAAGTACTACGCCAAATCCCCCTGCTTAGAAAGCTTTAAATCCTTTACACCGACTACGAAAAAATGGGAGCAAGGTTAGTTTTGCCGCAAGTGGAATGATGGGTCGCCAGCAGCAGGAGGCCTCTCTCAATGAGGAGAGAACTGGCGCGTTGAGGGATTGGATTGAGGATGTCGAGAGGGGTAGACGGTCTTTTGCACTCTGAGGTTTGGAATGGGTCTGGCAAAGAAGAAGAGCTGCATCGGCTAGTGGGGTTTCTTTGCGTCCACTTTCTCTCTATTGTCCTACGTCCGACATAGTCGACTTTCTTCATTCCTCTTCTTTCTCACTGTAATTCGATACCAATATTATCTCATTGCCTACAATTCATGATGCACGCTCTTTTCTACATTCACCTTGCATATCTCAGTTAACGAAGCGGCTAATCAACATATACGACAGGAGAAGGTCTATTGTACTATACGAATATTACGGAAAGTGAAGCGCCCTTCAGAACCTCGATTACTACTGTTCAATACGATGGCCATAGTCAGCAGCGGTAACTACAATACACAATTTTGTTTGCTCAAGGTGAACGTGACATTCGTTCGAAGCCATTGCGTGCTTGTCTAGCAGGCTGACATTGTGCAAATGACGTGAAAACAGCAAGTGAATGAGCGATTGAGCAAGATAAAAAGGTAAAGATTGCTCATGAATTCCAGACCCTTATATTGTCTGTGTATAAAATCTTCTTCAACTATGTATAGATATTTTCTCCAACAACTTCCGCTTCCGATCCTTCCTCAACGACGTCTTCGAATAACCACTTACTATCATGGCGGACTCTAACAACCCTGCCTCCGAACCTTCTTCGATCATAGCACCCCTCGATATGGAATGGGCTCGAGATGAGCTGGTTCCCTTCCTACAGTCGGTATTCGCGCAACCAGGCAAACCCGCGGATGATTGGATGAAGAGTATCCTTCATGCGAGGCGCAATATACATCTAATAGTAAGTAAACTGAACGCTACCCTTTGAAGGACAGCTGCATCAGGAAAACACCAAATATTTTCTCCTGACTTGGCAACAAGAAAGTAACATGTGAAACGTTCCTGAGATGTTCAAAAGGCACATCACTATCTCCTGCTCCCAGGCACTGACACATACAACACAGCCCTTTTACGAAGACTTTCCGTTGACGATTGAACGTCTTCGCCTCACTCTACTCAACTCGGAAACCCTTACGCCAAAGGAGCTGTCGAAATTCACGAAGGTCACTGAGCTAGGTAGCCAGATGTGCATTCGTATATTCGTACGCCATGCAGCTACACAAGGGCCATACCTGCTCTTCTCACTCGGTCGAGATCCAAATCCAGATCTCCGACGAGGAAGTCAGGCTAGGGGCAGCCGTCCTGCTCGGACACAACCGCCGCAGCTCATGGACGAGAACAGGGCGCTGCAGAAACAGATGAGCGCTCTCAACCTCGAAATTGAAGGTCATCACGGAGGCAGATATGTTCAGACAATTCGGCCACGGCAGCTTCGTGGAGAATACGAAGGACATCCAGATAACGGCCATCACTTGAATCGAGGAGCGCGTGTGTCTCAGGCGGTGCAACAGCCGTCCCCGCAATACCCACCAGCTCCATTTGGTGGATACAGTCAGCCCTACGACGATCCTTCGATGGCGCGTACTCCATACGCGCCTACTCCATCAATGGTTGGGTACGGTATGCAGGATTATGGCAACCCTCCACCACAATCGTACAGTGAATGGAATGTCAGTCAAAGCTACCACAACGCGCAACAGGCCAACTCTGCTCAACCACGAGCCAGTAGCGCTTACCCAATGTCGCCACCACAAGTAATGCTTGTTCCGCAGCAATTCCGCGTGCCCAGTCGTCAAGGACAACAATTTCAACACCATCGTGCTGCTTCAGCGGGTCAACAAGGTCAAGTATTGGCACAGAATGAAGACCATTCGGTACCTCCTCTGGGACAAGCTTCATCTTCAAGAAGAGCTAGCAGTTCCGTACTCCGTCCTGAAGCGAGACCATTCATTCCAGGTAAAGCTATCTAGTAAAACCATTCGAAGGTATTGCTAACCTTTATTAGGATCTAGAGCTACGGATAATTAAACGTCGATTTCAATTAGCAAGAGAATTCGGAGGGGCCGAAATGTGTAAAGATAAGGGCAAAAGTTTTGAAAAGATATGCTGCATGGCTTGCGATCTGCCTCAGTGGAGATGCAACCTTCATCCTTCCGGAAAACAGATAACCATAGATGTGCAATTGAAAGCCGCTGGTTGGTGCGGTGTTGACTCCGCCAACTTTTCCTCCAGATTTCCGCTTGAGGACCGTGCTCGTTAGCGTGAGGTTTGCCCGACCACCAATATTACCCACCACTTCATCATCACTTGAGCACTTTTGCAACGCCATCCCAACCACGCCCCTTCAGCCATCGTCTCGCGCGTGATCAATTTCAGAAGGAGGTAACAATAATGAAACGCTTATACTGATAACCCTACATCCAAGCCCTTGGCTACCATTCGCACGGAGATCCTAGGTCCATTCAGGCGTGTTGCAATCGTGACTAGGGCCAGAATGGGAGGTGACAAGACCAAGAAATGGAACAAAACTTGGCATTTCTGGCGCGCCCGCATGGAAGCTTCGACGACTGTTATCTTTTCCTGCTTAGCACAGCTTGGCACGTCTTTTTCGAACGTTCCGCCGCGCCCATGGTACAAGGCTGGTCGCTCGTATTGACGCCCGGATCCTTTGCTCATTCCTATCTTATCCTGACCCTGGGGCTACCACGGCCTTGGATGCCTCTAATTAACGCGCTTAACTGCGGCAGTATGTCTGAGGGGTCGCATTGTGATCCTTCGACCGGACTAGGCGCCGTCCCATGGTCTTGGATGCTGTTGATGTGCATGTAGCAGTGATAACACACGACAACCGAACGAACGAAATGCCATGGCGAAAGTGGACACGCTCGATAGTCGCGTGCGACCCTTGTGAAACTCCTGACCAATGCTTCGGTCTGGTTACCGATCTGCATGTATATGAAGAGGGGCATGGTACACCTGTTCGCACCGCAGGCATTCAAGTCCATCGCCCATTGCGTTTGCTTGACCCCCCACCGCCAGCGTGTGATCTCGCGCATTCAGTTCTGCGGTTGTATCTTGTTACTCCTGCTCTGCCTCGAAGTTTGGTTTAATATCATCTTCAGCACAATGGCAGCCACTACCAACGTCAAGGCGTCTCTGGAGATTACCAAGGGTGCTACTGCTACCGACCCAATTCCAATCGACACCAGCTCTACAGGTTCTATCAACGATGAGCACACCAACCTTTTGGGTCCTTTCCCTACTGAGGAGGAGTGGGCCACTCTTCCCAGGGTTGCCGGTCGCATTCCATGGCAAGCATGGACTGTAGCTGCTGTTGAATTCGTCGAGCGCTTCAGTTACTACGGTACCAGTGCCGTCTTTGTTAGTGAGTGGAATTCGGAACAACATTCTTTGGCATGTATTGACTGTCATCAGACTTCATTCAGAAGCCACTTCCCCCTGGCTCCAAGACGGGTGCTGGATTTCTCAAGAAGCCCGGTAGCGGTGCCCTAGACATGGGACAACGTGCTTCGACCGGTCTTACAATGTTCAACCAATTCTGGTCCTACATCACACCTCTCGGCGGTGCTTGGCTAGCTGACGAGTACTGGGGACGTTACAACACCATCCAGTACTCGAATTTCATCGCTCTCATTGGCCACATCATTTTGATCATGTCTGCCATCCCCGCCGTCATTGTCAAGCCCAACGTCTCCATCGGTATCTTCGCTGTCGGTCTCGTCATCATGGGTATCGGAACTGGTGGTTTCAAGAGTAACATCTCGCCGCTCATTGCCGAACAGTACAAAGACCAGAAAGCCTACGTCCGCGTCAAGAAGAACGGAAGCAAGGAAATTGTTGATCCCGCTACCACCACTGCGCGTATATACATCTACTTCTACTTCTTGATCAACTGTGGTTCTATCTGTGGTTCTCTTGCCATGGTTTACTCAGAGGTAATTGCCCTGTCAAAGCATGTTGAGCAATTATGCTAACGTCATTCAGCACTTCGTTGGTTTCTGGCTTTCGTACACACTGCCGACTATCTGCTACCTACTATGTCCGATCATCCTCGTCACCATGAAGAAACACTACAAGCTCTCGCCACCCACTGGATCTGTTATGGGCAAGGCTTTCAAGCTAATTGGTCTCGGCATCAAAAAGTCACCCCGCAAGAACACATTCAAGGATGATGGTTTCTGGGACAGGATCAAGCCTAGTGCCCTTCGCGCTAGTGGTGAGAGCGTCCCTGACTGGATGACCTTTGATGATGCCTGGGTCGACGAAGTCAAGCGTGGTATCCTGGCCTGCAAGGTTTTCCTTTGGTACCCTCTGTATTGGCTCGCGTACAATCAGGTATGAGATTTAAAAAGTTCAGCAAGTATCTTGAGCTAACGATTGTAGATGACCAACAATCTTGTGTCTCAAGCCAACACCATGAACCTCGGAAAGACACCGAACGATATCGTCTCGAAGTTGAACCCCATCTTCATCGTTATCCTCATCCCAATCATGGACTTCCTTATTTACCCTGGTCTGCGCAAGGCTGGTGTCAACCTCTCGCCCATCAAGAAGATCACTGCTGGATTTGCACTTTCTTCGTTCGCCATGGTGTCTGCCTGTGTCATTCAGTACTTCATCTATAAGATGTCGGCATGTGGTGATAACATTAATGCCCTTAGCAAGACCCGCGACGACTGCAGCGCCGACATCTCCGTCTGGGTCCAAGTCTTCCCCTACGGTCTGATCGGCATGTCTGAAATTTTGGCATCTATCACCAAGCTTGAGTACGCGTACACTAAGGCACCCAACAACATGAAGTCTACCATCCAGGCTGTCGCTCTCTCCACCTCCGCTGTTTCCGCTGCTCTTGGTCAGGCCTTTGTCAGTCTGTCCGAGGACCCACTGTTGGTATGGAACTATGGTTCTGTCGCTGTTATCGCCATGTTCGGTGGCATCGGTTTCTACATGACCTTCCGCAAGGCCGATGCTCAAGAAGATGCTATGAACAACATGAAGGAGAGCAAATATATTGGCGGTCGTGAGGTTGGTGACGCTGAAAACGTCGAGACTCTTAGCGTGAGGGACGTCAAGAACGAGAAGAGTGGCTTGTAAGCGAGATCACTGGGTTGGCAATGGGTACATGATAGTAATGATTTGAATGGAATTCATATATGAGCAGTTCTACTTTTCCAAATCTCTCGGTGTAATCAACCCATCCTTTGCCGCCTGTCTGAGCCATCTCAAGCCATATCAGGAACGATACAAATAGTGAGTATACCGCAGTCTGGTTCTCAGGAGGTCTGCTTGAGGTCAACAAGGCTCTACTTTCAGACATCAGATAGGCAAGCATAATACAGCCAGGAGGTCGTGGGGCTTTTCGAAGCTCTCCAACGTGGTGTAATGGTAGGGGCAGGAGGTATACAACTTACTCAGATAGCCACTCCACCTCCACTAGCACCTCCACCTCGACCACCTCCAGAACGGCGCCTGTCTCCAATACTACCCCAAGGATTTCCACTTGGAGAAGAACCAGGTACCGGTGCCTTGCCTTTCTGCCCAGGCGCCTTAGGGACACTGTCGTCTGGAGGGGGACCAAAAGACGGGAAACTGATGTGTGGGAGCTGATTTGGAGTCGCACCAGCAGACCTAGCAGAGTTGACTGCTGTCTCATGAGAACGCATGGCTTTGATCGCTGGCGCTGTCGGAGGTAGCATGAGACCACCGTACTGCTGGTAGTGGCGGTACAGGAGTATATCGACAAGTGACCGGCTTTGACGAATCCAGTCCATGGAAGCGTGACCGAGTTCTGGATTGGCGATGCGGAGGATGAGTTCGTGGATCAAGGCAGGGTTTCGGTCGAAGTCATCCTGATTGTAAGTTAGTACCTTCTTGGAGCAATGGTTGAAAAGGAGATGAATGCGGACTTACGATGGTCTCGCTGAGGAATATGGCGTTATTCATGTCCGGGTCGTAATTGTAATTGGGACGAGCTTGTCCTGAGTTATCTCGGACTGTGTACGCCCAGCGCATGAATGGGGTTACAGACTCGCCATTCCAGCGCTGGAGAGGGGTTGGTACGTCTTCTCGGAGATGGTGGACAGTTGGAGGGATTCGGTGACCAGGAAGAGGAGGCTGGCCGACATGAGGAGGGGACAAGGGCTCAATACCGGTACGAGAAGGGATTCGGCCATGGCGAGGAGTGTTGTAGGGGTTTTGGGACGAAGATTGCCCGTCGCGTCGAGAAGGTTGGTTGGCTTGCGAATCAGACATCCTGGCGGTTCACTGAAAGAAGATTTTTGCAGGATATGTAAGGGAGATTTGAACCAGAAGGATAAATGCTATATATATGATCTAGAGATGTTGTGAAGGTAGCTCTGGAATTTTCATCAATAAGAGGGTTAAGGAAGGAGGAAGTTCATTATATATCTCAGTAGCGGAGATCATATTGAGATGAGGGGCGTTTGCTTTCGAGCGTGACCTTGGATTTTTTGAGATAAGGTGTGCGTGAGAGAATGTATCTGTGACGCTTTTGAGCAGGTTTGCGCTCACTTCTAGTCATGAGGAAGAAAACCTGCGTTTGCAATTATACATAGGTAGGTAGCTATGGTAGTGCGTGGAAAGAGGCAAGTCTTCAGGTTAGTGTCTTATAACAAGTCAGTTTCCAGATTGATTATAGTTCAAGTGAACCGACTAAGGGTTTTCGGCTTAATGGTGTGGGCAAGAAAGTGAAATGATAGCTAAGGCCGTTGAGACATGAATAGCGTTGATCATGAACACTGCCTATTACAAAGACCATCGATACTAAATCTACACTATGAGTACATCAATACATAACGCCTTAGGTGACTCTTCTGCTTACTTACTTTGCCCAGGATGGAGCTCGTTCTGTCTTGCCCTACTGGACGTTTGTGAAGAAGAAAACTTACCTTCTCCAACAAGTTGATTAGATTGCCACGGCTTGCTGGTG